GTTAATACCTCGTCCTTTCCAGTCCAGAAGCTTGAAAAATTAATGAATGTAATTAATTAATTACGAGTGATTTTAAATATTTATCATTTTTTATATAACATCATTTATGTTTAGAATTTAATAAAAAAAAATTGGTACACGTAGAAGAAAAACCTCCCTGTATATATCCCAGAGGTTAAAACGCTGCAAAAAGATGTCAATGTTCAGTGTCTGTATTGTCCGTGGAACTTGGATAGTCCGACTATCATAGTCGTTTTGGTCGATTTTCCATGCTACTACTTAACGAAGGAGATGCGTTTCGATTACCAATTGATGACTCCGTGGCGCAGTTGCCAAGGTATTGGCTTCGGCGTCGGGGGTCGTGGGTTCGATCCCCACACGGGACAACTATTTGTGTGACCCACAGATAGTTGTTTCGCATCTGGGTGTTTGTCCGCGTGTAATTTATATTTGTAAAAACGTCCTTGCAACACGGGATAATGTTATCCTAAAGTAAGGGAAATGTTTTTTTTTTAAATAATTGTTGTGGAGACGCAAAGGTCTACTGTTGTCAATACGCCTGGCCGTCCGGTCATATCGACTGCCCGCTCGCACGCTTCGGACATCCATAAGGGCGGCCTCTGCTGTCAAGAGTCTCAACATCACGTACATAAAGACCGCGTTCAAAACAAGTCCCTCGATTAAAAGCAACGCCTAAAATAAACGCTAAGCGGTAAACACATGACGAAGACACCGTTCGCGCCTTGCGTAACGTTTTACTGCAATCTAAAGGGCATATTACACTGTAATTTTCTATCTTTTATATGATTACCAGCTGCTGCCCGCGGCTACGTCTGCGTAGAATAGGCTGAAGGCGTAACATTCAGACAGAAAGACAGATATACTTAAAAATATGTAAATATCCTATGTGTTATTGTGATGTATAAGCTATATTATTGTAAATTTTTATTAAATTTTCAGTAGTATTTGCGTGAAAGCGTAACAAACATCTATCCATACATACAAACTTTCGCTTTTATAATATTAGTAAGGATTTTTGTCCTTGATCATATATTTTTGACGTTTGTTGCTAGGTTAGTTGTTTATTTTTATTTTTCTACCACTCAATTATGTCGCTTCACTATCAAACAATTGGAACAAACAAAACTACCGATAGAGACATCACTAAAGTTCCAGATTGATAATCTGCAAACTATTTAGGTATCTGCTATGGTCTAATCAAAATCTGTCGAAATTTCCTCATTCAACATAGGCCTGTTTTGAGCTGTCCACGTACAACGTGAAAAGACTACCACCGGTTCACTAAACTAGACCTGTCCAAAGAAGAACCGGGAAACTGCGGTCTCATCTTGTTTTTAATGGTACAAGTATAAAACATTATCTACTATATATATAAAAATAAATTGCTGTTCGTTAGTCTCGCTACAACTCGAGAACGGCCAGACCGATTTGGCTAATTTTGGTTTTGACATATTTTCGGTTGTCCCGGGAAGGTTTAAACGATGAGAAATTATGGAAAGATTACATGGAAAATCGAAATAGCAACAATTTTATTTTCCCATACAAACTGTACCTGTCAACCTGTCAACTGTGTCTGTGTAACCTGTCAAACACTTCATGCTTGCGTTTTGATTCTTCTAGAAATTATTTATATGGCAAAACAACGTTTGGCGAGTCAGCTAGTTAACATATAAAATTAGCAGTTGTTAGGGGACTTTCAAGTGCAGAGCAAGAGTCATTTCCACACATAATTGTCTTCGGTGTATTGTTCGACATCATAATAGAAGACCCATGCCATTGAATTGATTGTGGTTGTCAGCTATTTTATTATAAAAGTTAATACTTTTATAATAAAATAGCATAATAAATACTTACTGTGGTAAGCGTAGGGCAACGTTATAGTGTTCGCTGTTGCACGAATGGGCAGGTCCGTCCGGGTAAGTACCACGACCTCACCGAAGACCGACGTAAAGTGCAAGTGTTACACGTCTGCGTTACGTCTGGAGAGTGAGGTAGCCCGGGCCTACTGTATTAAGAGGTGGCAACGAATTGGAACGCTACGGGTGTTGCAAATGTCCACGGGTCGCGGTCACCACTTAACATCAGGTGAACCGCCAGCAAGTCTATTAGAAGTTAAGTTAATACGCTATCGGCGGTTGTCGCGTCTAAGAAATCTATTCGACCTATATACAGTTCGAGCGCGAAACAATCGACCGCCACTCGACATTCCGCGTCGAGCACGTGTTCGCGTGATCGTAAGGCCGTCGGAAGAATGTCGTATGGAGCACTAGTGACCCGCCCCGGCTTCGCACGGGCGCAATGTATTATACAAATAAACCTTCCTCGTGAATCACTCTATTAAAAAAAAAAACGTATCAAGATCCGTTGTATAGTTTTAAAGATCTAAGCATACATAGGACAGACAGACAGCGGGACTACTGTGTTTTATACTATGTAGTGATAAACCTTCCGCTTGCATCGCTCTATCTAGCAAAAAAAAAAGCATTAAAATCCGTTGCGTAGTTTTAAAGATCTAAGCATACGTTGGACAGACAGCGGGACGGGACGACTTTTTTTAATACTATGTAGTGATAAACCTCCGTCTTGAATCGCTCTATCTATTGAAAAGAACCGCGACAAGATCCGTTGCGTAGTTTTTAAAGATCTAAGCATATATAGGGACAGACGGCGGGACGGGACGACTTTGTTTTATACTATGTAGTGATACATAAGTTTTCAGTCGGCAAACAAAGCAGGAAATCGTGTGTGCTGCTCACCTGATCTCAAGTGATTTACCTTTGGATATTTACAACATTACGCTAGGCTGCGATGGCAGCCTTTAAGTCATCAACGGCAATGATATTTAGGGTATGTTCCGATATGCACTGCGAGCACTGCACAGTGCTATCACTGTAGAAAAATTCGTTCCGTCATATACCGCCGCAGTACCCTAGGGAAATATATGACGTCATAGATCGTCGCCATATTCTACTGTGAGCACTGGCGTTTTCGAGGTAAGGTGATCAGTTCAAACCACTCGAGTGCATAACGTTTTATAAACAATGCCTGCAGATTAATCCCAAAGTTAAAAAGTTATGTTATTAGTTTGGATTAACAAATAAAACAACTATTTGTGTGACCCACAGATAGTTGTTTCGCATCGGGGTGTTTGTCCGCCTGAAATTTATGTATGTAAAACGTCCTTGCAACACAGGATAATGTTACCCTAAAGTGAGGGCATTGTTTAAAAAAAACAAATAAAACAATGGAAGAATTGCAAAAATATTAATTTTTAGTATTATGTATGTATTATTATACAGCGTGTCTTTACAATGCGACAATAAATGAACACACATATAGAGGATAACTTTTTTAAATTGTATTAAAAATTTACATTTAAATAATAAATTTTCCAAAACAAACAATTTTAGAACACCCTTAAGTATAAAACTGTAACGTAAAGTTCATTTGTAAAGGTCACAAAGCATATGAATGGATTGAATGAATTTAAAAGAGACAAAACATACTGTTAGAAGGAGAGCCTTGGTCGACGCCGTGGCAACGAATGAAAAAGTTTCTGAATGTATGAATCAGTCAGTTGTAGTTAGTATAGGTGTTACAAATTTTGTTTCTTTTTTACTTAATTAGTTTGTTTGAAAAATTTTTTTTTGTAATTATGTATTTCTTTTAACGTTAATATATATTATATTATTACAAAATTAATACGTGAACTGACAACTATTTGTGTGACCCACATATAGTTGTTTCGCATATTGGTGTTTGTTCGCATGAGATTTATGTTTGTAAAACGTCGTTACAACACAGGATAATGTTATCCAAAATTAAGGGCAATGTTTTAAAAATAAATTGTCGAGACGTTATTGGTTGCCATGGTAACACCATGAAGTTGGTGTCGCGGCGACCCCCGTATTTAAAATTCTCATAATTTTCCCCAAGCGCGCAAAAATAAGTATAACTTCAAATAATTACGACATCCTGATGGACCTTAATTGAATCAAACAAGAATAAATCACTACATAGTATAAAACGAAGTCGTCCCTCTGTCTGTCTGCCCCTATGTAGGCTTAGATCTTTAAAACTACGCAACGGATCTTGATGCGGTTTTTTTTTTTTACTAGATAGAGTGATTCAAGAAGAAGGTTTATATATATAATACATTGCACCCGTGCGCAGCCGGGGCGGGTCGCTATTTATTAAATAAAACGTAAAAACCCAAATATGTTAAACATAACTAAACTATTTCTCTATTTTTTTTTGGCGGACAAAATATTCAAATGTATATGTTACTTTCACGCTTGAAGAAAAATTCATTCATTCATTCATTTCATAGCACTATGATTTTTCCATATCTGTTAAACAATAGCAAAATATTTTTTTTAAAACCAAGAAAACCTTTCTTTTGAAGGTTTTACGTTTTTTACGATCTCGATGACTTTCGAAAAATAAAAATTAAAAAAAAGAAAAATTACATGCCGTAGCCTATACTTCTGTAGTGTCCTTCGAATATCCAGAGGGGCCCAACTGAAAGGCCGCGTAGCTTGAAAATTAAAATTTTTATTCATCCAAGCGAAAATGACTAGGTACTCGCTTATTATCCGGTTAAAGTTGTAGTGTTGTTTTTGTTAAAACTTCACTATGCTTAAATACGAAAATTGGTCTACCTGAACTGACTACTCTTGAAAATATTGGTAGGCATAGCCTCGCCTTCGCCTTCCGCCCAAGCATCTCTCGAATGTAGTAGGACGATAAGCGTTGTCTCTGTCACACTCTAGGTAAGTGAGGTATTTTGTCAGTCGTTGCACAAGTGTGCGACAGAGATAACGCTCTAGGACACTGAAATTACATAGTTATAAAACGATAGTCTATTGTCTATATGCGAATATTGTACATTCGCGTCCAGATGTTCGATGTTCGATAGTATCCTCTGAAATGTTAGACTAGTGGTACAGTCACGTCGAGTTGCGGGAGATCGAGGGCAAATGGCCCTCTATCTCCCGCAGCCCTCGAATTCGTACGGTAGAGTGGTACATTCGCGTCCAGAGGGTTCTTTCGTCGCCCTCCCCCGCCCCTTTGCGGCTCGTTCGGAAGCCATTCGGAATAGTAGGCAGTACAATCGCGGTCAAAAGCGCAGCAGAGCCGGCACGCAGTGTCAAGTGGGGGCGCTAGGCATCGACGAAAGCGTGTCAAGGCATAAGATACGCGTGTATGTACAGTCGTTACGTAAAGCGATTTAATTGGAATTTTTCCTTTTGATGCTATATGTTCCTACTTGAAAAATGTTACTATAGTGTCAACGAATTTCTAGACGATAATGCAATTAAATAACCTTCGATGTTTTAAATTTTTTCCCTGGCATTTTAAAATTGTAACCAGTGCTTGTTTTATTTTTATTTTGACTATTTTTTTTTATTATTATTTTTTTGCCATTTTACACGTTATTTTATTTATAATCATGAGACATAATTTCTATTGTAATTTTGATTACGAACCATTTTAATTGCATTTTTTTTTGTTTTGCATGAATTATTCAACACAATTTGTATTATTATTAATAAAGGAATATACAGAATATATACTTCTATTGGCGCGTTTGGAAAAAAATTATGGGAGTGAAATTTTTACGAAGCGCGCGCACAAAGCCAGTCAGAAAGTGACATGAGTTGGTTGCAAGGCGACCAACTTCACGGTATTTCCATGGCAAACAAGTTTTCGGCATTTACCCATAATTCGATGTTATTATTAATTAAATCGTTATCAATTGAATTTAATGTCTTTTTCACAAACAAAAACTCATAATGGCCCAGGGGATATAATTTTTAGTTATTTTTCTTTTGTTACGTTAAAGAAGTGTAACTTCTTGTGCTTACATACTTATATAAATACCTACATACTTATGTAATACATAAAAACGTGCATGTGTGTGTTTGTACTTACTCCACCCATACTCGTTTATTATGTATTTTTAGCCAAATTCTTACCATTTTTCGGGAATGGTGTGAGATGTGTGTAAATGTTTATTTTAGATTGATATATTAACAATTAAAAAAAAAAAACAATCCGAATCCAATACAAAAATTATCGTTCGTTGTAGAAAGTAGTGTAGGTACAAATAATTAGAACTATATAGTGTTAAATAGGTATATAATGTAATATGTATACATACATTATGATAAGAAATGTTAAATAGTATCTACTATTATGCGTTCATTATTATTATCATTATTTAATCAAATAATTAAGATACGCGAAACGATAGGAAATCTTAATTTGAATTCGCATCGAATTTCGACGATACTGAACCGCCACCGATAACACTTGTGACCGCGACGCTACTGTCGCTGCTTAGCGTAGGACAACGATTCTAAACGCGAACCACCGCATACTTGTCGAACGCGCGTCAAGAAGAGCCACGCCTCGCCCCGCTGACCCTATTCCGCGGCGCTGGTCTTATCTAGCGATCGCTAAGCAGCGGTCACTCACCTCGTCGACACCCTGAGCTGATGATGCACGAATGGCAAACGTATACGAAACTCCTCGGCTGAGCGGCAGCCGGGGCCGAGTGGCCGCCGAAAATATGCAGGTCTCCCCGCGACGCTTTCCTACGCCGCTGAGCGCGTGATAAGTCGCGCGGTTAATGTTAACGATTTCATCGGTGCCGGCGCCGGGATCGAACTCAGGCCCGAGTATATAAGTATCGGGTGGGATGGCAGTCAAGTGCTGGCCAGTTCTAAATAAAAAAAAGTATTTTGAATTAAAACAAAAAAGAAAGTGAGCACTCGAAAACTGCCGATTCCGCCACTGAGCACAGAACGCTTCTAGTTTCTATAGACACGCGGTTCGCCGGAGCGTCCGCGCTTTGTTTACGCTAAATAAGTACAGTCGAGCACGGAAAGATTACGCGGTGTAAAATAATGATTATAATTTTTTTTTAGTCGCAACGGGACGATGAATTTTATGTCGCTCTGTTAGATCATGAAAAATTACAAATTGTAGGAAAACTTTTCGTCCATTTTTTCTAAAAATTTTAAGGTTTAAGGTAAGTATAAAAGTTAATTTTCAAAAAGGCAACATCTCAGTAAAACTAATGGTCAGTCAAAAGTCTATAGAGTTGCGATAAAATTAAACCAATTGGCGTTATTCGGGTCCTTCAGTTTAGTGGCGCTAGGGATATATCTACCTAGTATTTGTATATAACATCGTTGAAGGATATTATATACAGCGTGTCTTTACAATCGCGACAATAAATGAACACACATATAGGGGATAACTTTTTAAAATTGTATTAAACATTTACATTCTTTAAACATCCATATTTACAGAGTTATTAAATTTTCCAAAACAAAGAATTTTACAACATCCTTACGTATAAAACGGTAACGTAAAGGATGTATAGGATGTTACAAAGTTTGTTTCTTTTTTACTTAATTAGTTTGTTTGAAAAATATTTTTTTTCAATTATGGATTTTGTTTAACTTTAATATTTTTTTATGATTATTGGCAAGTAGCGTTAGACGTGTGTTCATTTATTGTCGCGATGGTAACGACACGCTGTATATGGATAAACTCGAAGTGGTTGCGCGCTCGACTGTACTCGCTAATCGAGAGGTCGCGCTTAGAATGCGCGACGTAGCGGAGGCGCGGCCCGCTACTTTCCACATAGTCATCGGCGGTCCGTTCCGGTGTACTCCAACTTTACGTCGTCGTATAAAATGGATTCCTGATCGTCCAACGGAGTGTACTTTTTAAAGGCAACAAGATGCGCGTTCTTCCGTCTTCTTTAACTGAGGGTTCGCGTGATGCTAAGTGATGACCGCCGCCCATGGGCATTTGCGACACCCGTTGGGTTGCAGTTGCACTGCCGCATTTCGACCAAGTGGGCCCCGGCTACCTCACTCACCGGACGTCCGTATTCGACATTAACGGTGGTAGGGCCACGCAGCAGCCTCGGCTGTTGCACGAATGGGCAGGCCCGTCCGGGTAAGTACCATGACCTCACAGAAGAGCGGCGTAAAGTGGAAGTATAATACTGTCGCGTTTCGTCTGGTGAGTGAGGCGGCCGGAGCCCAATTTTCAAAAGGTTGTCATCGCATCTGCAAACCCTCGGGTGTAGCAGATGTCCATGGGCGGTGGTATTCACTTAACATCAAGTGAACCACCGGCTCGCTTGGCGACTTTTCACACAAAAAAAGGAGGGTTACACTCACTTATTGATAGTCGTAATACTGTCGATATTGTACAGTCGTGGCCTTACCACAGTAATCTCCATGTCGTGGCATTTCCCCGGGAGAGACGTAAGAAGACGCTGCGTAGTTACACCGCGGTAGACCCTGGGACCCTCGTTGACCCCATGTTCACCAGTCGTTGGGTTAATTAGAGATCCCACCAATTGGGACGGGCGCCGGCCGCGCACATCCCAATTGCGGTCGCTCGTGGGCCGAGCGTAAGGCGGAAGCGGTTTTTGGAAATCAAATAAAAAAATTTAAAGTAAACAGCCTATACGTGTCAAAGTAACAGCCTATACGTGTCCCACTGCCGGGCAAAGGCCTACTCTGTACAGAGGGTATTAGGGCATTGACCTCCAAACGACCCCAATTCGGATTGGCGGAATCACATATGTTCGAAATACTCTTTTTTTATTATTTCGTAAATATGCAGTTTTCCTCACGGTGATTTCCTTCACCGCTGAGCACCTGATAAGTCAGCACTTTAAATTAACAATTTCATCGGTGCCGGCACCGGGGATCGAACTCGGGTTGCTCGAGTATATTGAATTAAAGGCGAGCGCCCGGACACTGAGCTATCACGGCTCGGTTTAGGAAATAACTACGCGAAATGTTTATAGAAAAATGCTATTACAGGCGTATAAACGAATTTTATTAAACTTCCTTTTAAATTGTCTTTATTTTATTTCTAACTAGCTGTGCCCGCGATTTCGTCCGCGTGGAATTTAAAAATAAAAAAAATAAAAGTAGCCTAAGTTATTCCTTATTACATCAGCTATCTGCCAGTGAAAGTCCCGTCCAAATCAGTTCAGCCTTTTCAGAGATTAGCCGGAACAAACAGACGGACAAAAAATTAAAAAAATGTTATTTTGGTATATGTACCGCGTATACATCCACATGCATTTAGTAAAAAGCTGTTATTTTAATATTACAAACAGACACACCAATTTTAATTATCTGTATAGATTGTTAATGTGAAATTAAAAATTGTTAAAATGACTTGAAAAACCTATATAATAAGTAGAAGCATACGATGTTTGCCAATGGTGTCTTAATCAAGATGATGCATGTTTACATTTATTTTGAAATAATTACGATACCATATTTTTATTCTTTTTATTGTGAACAAAATTATAATAATTATTTCAATTCATATTTGGGAACTTCATCTACTATTAATATTATTTGTTGAGGATTATAGACCATGAAGAATTATGCAAATAAAAGCTAATATATGTATATATAAATTTCACTAATAAAACTGAAATGAGCCGTGATACCTCAGTTTCCAAAACGCACTAATTGTTTTTTTTTTTTATTAGGGATATTGAGTTCGAGATCACCCAAGTGTAATATCATTTGTGGCAAGTTGAAGAACATTAAACGGAGTTGAATCTTTAATCGCGTCGCTCGAGAAACGGACGCGACGCGTTTCCTCAAAGACGGCTATGATGTCATCGTGACTAAGTAGCGGATCCGAGATCGGTGACGTCACCGCGCCGTCTATTGTCTTCTCTCCTGCCACAAAACCAGATTTCGCTAAAAACTGTCACAATTCTCTCGCACGGGGTCGAGATGATTGCTAATATAAAGGCCCATTTACACGGTGCAAGTTTCTTGCCTGTTGTATACAATTAAATTGAAGCAATAAATGAGTTGCATGGTCTAAACAACAAATAGTCTAAACAATTATTGCGCGCAATTTATTGCATTCAATTATTGCTCTTGTATGTTCAAGAAAATGGCATCGTGTAAATGGGCCTTAATGCTAATCTATTCCACGCACTTTATCGCGTTCAAGCCCGTCCCGTGAACACGAACGGCGTGAACTGTTGGAAATGTGGAGATTTTTTTTTATATGTGAAAAGTTGCCGAGCGAGCAGACGGTTAGACGGTTCACCTGATGTTAAGTGAACACCGCCGCCCATGAACACCCGAGGGTTACAGATGCGTTGACAACCTTTTGAAAATTGGGCTCCGGCCACCTCACTCACCAGACGAAACACCAATTGCAATTAACAGAGCTTTCTAGGTGGTATTATTATTATTACCAGTAGAGGTCGCCCAGTGGTCTAAATTCGATCATAAATTATAATAAATGGTAGGTAGTGTGTGTAATGTATTTTATATTTATATAATCTTTATATATATAATTCTTCTGTACGCGTGTGTCACTGAACTCCTCCTACAAAGCTGGACCGATTTTAATGAAATTTTTATGTGTTCATACTCCTTAGTCCGCGCAATTTACTATTATTGTGGTAAATTTCATACTCCTCAGCGTATAAAAGGTTACAAAGTTTTTGATTCACATATTAATATAAATAGATATTACTAATAATAATAGATATTACTTGTATATTACCATTTTAATTTGTTTCATGGGGGAGCCAAATGAGACCTAGCGACCGTTTTGAATTCTCAACGGAAATCACGCTTATCTTGTATGTTGTCACGAGAAACGCGCTGAAAGTTACATTTATGTTAGGAATTTAATAGTTTTACAACCGACGAAATTATTACTATGCCCTGCGACATATTTCTATAAGAAAGGTGGATGCCCTCTGGTCTAGGCCCGAATGAATTCTAGAATTCTGGCCATTGGTTGCCAACGGGAAATATGGAAATTTGACGAAATGTTTTGAACAAAATGCATTCGTGGTTTTGGTTCAACATATTTGTGTGAGTCAGCATTTCCCAACTTAAAACAAACAAAAAAAAACGATTTTATAATTGTTTATTTTGAAAAAAATTGTTGAATTGAATTTTTTGTTTGTGTCTCCACTGTCTGTTAAAAAGTAGTTTTTACCTTATGATTAAGGTCACCTAACCTACTCATCACTTGACCCATGTAAAATTGTTCTGTTTTGGTGTGTAATTTGTTGGTGATGAATAAATGAATAAATGCACAAAATTTCCAACATTCGCGCCAAAGCGTCGCGTTTTGTATCGGGCCACGCGGCAAGCGGAAACTCTTCCCCGCTCCGCGATAGCGCGCCCGCTATTAATAATATACGGTCAATGAATCATTTTGGGTGTGTGGTCCAAGTGATGCGCGCCGTTCCAACAACTTTACCGTGGTGTGGTAGGGCCACGCAGCTGTTGCACGAATGGGCAGACTAGTCCGGGGAAACAATATATATATATATATTTACCTATTATAATAGTATTTATTTAAATATAGATGTATTTATTGTTGTGTTTAATAATTGTTATCATAATGTATGTATACATATTATATAATCCTTATATAGCTAGCACCTACACTTCTCTCTCACTAACTTTCCGGTTGGCTGGTAGAAAATGCCTTATGGCATTAAGCCCGCCGTTGGTACCAGTTAGTACAAAAAAGTGTGCAAATAAATAAATAAAACTAAATACTAGTTTAGGCGTAGCATTCGTATATAGGAATCCTTACTGATATTATAAACGAGAAAATTTGTATGTATGGATGGATGTTTACTCTTTCACGCAAATATTACTGAATGGATTTTAATGAATTTTTACAATATAGACATAGGCTATTGTGCCTGAATGTGACGCGTTCAGCCTTTTCTACGCAGACGTAGCCACGGGTAGCAGCTATTATACATATAAATGCAAAAGGCTACGTGTTTGGACTAAGGACAACCAGTCAAATGGTTCCAGAACCACAGAGACAACGAACATACAAGCCTTGATTTTTATTCACTTTTTTTTTAAGTGAGAAAGTGGCAAACGAGCTGGCGGTTCACCTGATGTTAAGTGATAACCGCCGCACATGGACATTTGCAACACCCGTAGGCTTGCAAACGTGTTGCCACCTTTAAATAAAATGGGCCGCGGCTATCTCACTCACCAGACGAAACGCAGAAGTGTAACACTTCTACTTTGCTCCGGTCATCTGTGAGGTCGTGGTACTTACCCGGACGGACCTGCCCATTCGTGCAACAGTGAACACTGTTGCGTGGCCCTAACACAGTAAAACTTTGTTAAGATTAAACATTAAAATTTTGTAGAAAAAGTACGAAAACATTGTCGCCGTTGCGAGAATCGAACCGACGTCTTCGACATTCGCGGCCTGACGCTTTAGCCACTAAGCTAAACGGCTGATTGCCACACCGACGAAAATCTTAATAGACTTTTATCTACATCGTTTTTTTTAGCATTTTAAGCATAACAGTACACTATACTTAAAGTATGTTAGTATTAGTACGTGAAGCAAAAACTTTGTACCCATTTTTATGAAAATTCCGCGGATGGAGGGGTATGAAATTTCCTACACTTATAGTTTATAAGATGTAAGGATTGCTGAATGCTAATATATTTTTTTAAATCAAGCTTAAAAATACATTAAATCAATGAAAAATACATTACATAGACCACGGCGACAAATTACATTCGACAAATCGGCGACCGCTAGTATATAATAGTTCAACATTAGCACACAACAGTCACAGCAGTACATTAAAGTTCAGCAAACCGCCACAGTTTATGACAGGTGCCAATCGGCCAGTTCCACGGACCGAATTTCGCGTGTCGTTTCCTCCGCAGCGCCGCCCACACGCGACTTTAGACCTTATCACCTAGGTATTTAACCCCACCTTCGCTCGACCCGCCAACCTCCTTATCGCCGGCAAGGACGTGCGCCGCACAAGGTCGTCGGAGTTGGTGTTTTCATTATCTTGTGGAACGCAAGCGAACAAACGTCTCTGCGGTCCAAATCGTATACCGATTTCTTGTGCAAGGTCAAACCTAATGGCCCTAAAACTAAATTTCTAAAGTAAAAATAATCACGCAGTTAAAGTCGGAATATGCTTCTCAATTTGCGGTCAACCATTTAAGAACTAGGGTGGTAACTTACTAACGTATTAATTTTTGTGTAAAATTTTGACGTTTCATAAGAACGCGCAAGCGTCTATGTGAATAAATATATTTTGATTTGATTTGAACTGTATAGAGAAGAATGTTCATCCCTATCTTAGTATACACTCAAAGTATATATTCTTTTTATGAACAAGTTGGCGATCGAGCAAGCGGTGTCACCTGACGGGTTCCAGATGCGTTGTCGACGTTCTAGAAGGTGGGCCTCGATTACCTCACTCACCAGAGCCCCCAGCGGTGTCAATAGGTTGGCGCATTTGCTAAGCAATGGCTTCGGCGTCGGGGTACGTCTGTTCGATTTCCACACGGGACTAGTATTTGTGAGACCCACGGACAATTCTTCCGGATCTAGATGTAGTAGCGTTGTTATCCGGCAGACGTTAAGCACATTAACAATATGATTCACACGATGTGCCGACTGAGTTAAACACATTAACATGTGTACGTACAACGAGATACTTGTCTCTTTCACACATGACGTTTTTCATTGTTCTCATAGAGCGCCGTCTTCTTCGCCAGGTCCATGGAAGACGCTGCAGGATGAGCCAGGGCGGCTGAGGCGCAGCGCGCCGCCACAAAAAAACGCAACATGTCGTTCTTCAACAATCTCAAAAAGGTAAAAACAGCCACCTCTACAAACTTAACTGTAGTAGGGCCAAGCAAAACTCTTCTATGTTCCACGAATGGGCAGGTCCGTCCGGGGAAGTACCAGGACCACATAGAAGAGCGGCGTGAGGTGTTGTCATTATACTTTCGCGATTATTCTCGCTGGTGAGATAAAGATCGTGTATGGGACTTGCCACTAGTGTAGTAAAAGGGATCAGACTGACGAATTAACGACTGAAAGGAGGTAGTGGGAGGGCCACGCGACGGTCTTCTCTGTTGCACGAATGGGCAGATCCGTTCGGGGAAGTACCAGGAACACATAGAAGTAATAGAACACATAGAAGTGTGTAATATGTAACCGGGGGCCCAATTCATTGAAAGCTGGCGACGGATCTGCAATGTTACGGGGTGCAAATGCCCATGGGAGGTCATCACTTAACATCAAGCGGACCGCCAGCTTGTTTGCTACTTTCAAACACAATAACCATTTTACTACCGAAAAACATAACCGACTTCAAATATCTCGCTCCGTATTCATTTTATAATTGATTTTCAGCAGCTCCCCAAGTGTCTCCGGAGCCCAAGATCCAATATCAACGAATTTAATTTGGGACCACGTGGGAAGCGCCAGCTTTCAAAAAAAAAAAAAGAATCATCAATCGGTTCGTGAGTGAACTCATTCACACTCAGTCAAAAGTTCTGAGGTAGCAAACATGAAAAAAATACGGTCGACTTGAGAACCTCCTCCTTTTGAAGTCGGTTAAAAAAAGCTGGCCGTCTCTGGCATCAATCCCTGAGCGTCATCTAACTCACTCCACATTACATTTGCGCGTTCACACATTCCCCACAAGCGGCTCTGATCTAGAAACGTTCCGCAGGTGCTGCACCTCGGCGGGGGGAATGACGCCAAGAAGAAGAAGGTGTTCAGCAACATCAGGGATAACAGCGATCCCAATGAGCACTGGGACATGATAGGGGAGCTGGGCGATGGCGCCTTCGGCAAGGTGAGGGTGTTGCGTGTTACAATCAAAGTTAAAGTCAAAATGTCTTTGGGTTTAATTTTAAGCTCCTATTGAACGTCAAAAAATCGACAAGGTGAGGAGTACACTTCGATGGGACGCGTTGCGTGTTAAAGTCAAAGTCAAAATCTCTTTGGGTTAAATTTAAGCTCTTATTGAAAGTCAAAAACTACCACCGGTTGACTAAACTGGACCTTACCAAACAAGAACCGTCAGGAAACTATACGGTTTTGTCATCTCTCTTTTTTTTAAATATACAATTATACAAATTTATTTGAGTTTAAAATCAGCAGCAGTCAGAGGACTTGCAAGTGCAGAGCAAGATTCATTTCCACAAATTCTCGTCTTCGTTGTTAATAAATGTTGCTTTTGAAGTTGCGTGGTAACCCATAGCAACTTTTTGAAACTTACCTATAATACCCAGGTTTAACGGTGGTAGGGTCACGCAACAGTGTTCGATCTTGCACGAATGGGCAGGTCCGTCCGGGTTAGTACCACGACCTCAGAGGACCGGCGTGAAGTAGAAGTGTTACACTTCTGCGTTTCGTCTGGGAAAAAACTTCTAAACATCACTGCAATTCGAGATGTGAACTCGTAACACACGTTTCGCAGCATTCCTATATGAGAGTTACAAAATGGAGAGGAAAATCCTACCACCTCAGATCTGATCAAATTGATGTATCTATTCAAGTCAAGGTGAAGCAGGTTCGGTTTAAAAAATTAGCTGTTCATCCGTTCAAACGTCGCATCGCCCATTTCCAGGTGTACAAAGCCCAGCACAAGACCACCGGCACACCGCCACCGTATTTAATTAAAAGGTCAAAGGTCTTCAAGAAGCCCTCGCGGATACTTGAAGCGGGTTCGGTTCAAAACTTCGCCGGTCATCCGATAACACATGGTCGCGTCCTATTTTTCCAGGTGTACAAAGCCCAGCACAAGACCACCGGCCAGCTCGCCGCGGCCAAGATGTGCGTGCTGGACAACGAGGACGACCTGGCCGACTTCACCGTTGAGATCGACATACTCTCCGAGTGCAGGCACCCGAACGTCGTGGAGCTGCACGAGGCGTACTTCATAGACAACAAACTCTGGGTGAGTTTTTGGAGGTGATAGAATAGTCGTTGGGCTTCAGTCGTCATCATCGTTTCAGCCTGTTAGAGTCCACTGCTGAACATAGCCCTCCCCCACACAATGTCACTAGTTGGGCTTCAGGAATCATCAACATCATTCATCATCATCATCTCAGCCTGTTAAGAGTCCACCGCTGAACATAGGCCTCCCCCGCACACTGTCACGAAGCACGAGTTCCAAACGTAAACGGAAAAGAAGTCACACCGAGCCGTGGCAGGGCATTTTCTATTCCATTTTGCGGAGTTCCCTGATTTATCTCAGATGTGCTGACATATCACGTGTTCAGCGGTGAAGGAAAACATTGTGAGGAAACCTGCATATTTTCGAAACAATAATAAAAAAATATTTCGAAGAGTTTAGAATAGAAATCTGCCATTCCGCAGTGGGGATCGCGTGTTGGACTATACCGTAATACCCTCAGCACAGAGGCGGCATTTGTCTGGCAGGTGGACATATTAGATAGACTGATACTTCACTTTATTTCAAAAGTAAATTACTTTACAAAAATTTTGTTCCACAAAGTTCTGTCCAAGTGACTCACCTAAGTGTGCGCTGTTTCCACAGATGCTGCTCGAGTACTGCGACGGCGGCGCCCTCGACTCGGTGATGTCCGAGCTGGAGAAGGGGCTCAGCGAGGCGCAGATCGCGTACGTGTGCCGCGAGATGTGCAGGGGCCTGCAGTTCCTGCACTCGCGGCGCGTCATCCACCGCGATCTGAAGGCGGGCAACGTGCTCGCCACGATGACGGGCGGTGTCAAGCTGGGTCAGTGCGGCCGCCGCTGCGGTTACTACACTGTGGCGGGAGATGCGTCACGTGCGCGTTTTCACTCTGCACTGTGACTACTTCGAATATACAATGACACGGCACTGGATTCCGTGACGGGCGGCGTCAAGCTGGGTCAGTGCGCCGAGGCGAGGACGTGTCACGTCGACCCACTCTGTGGCATGCGACGTCCACGTTAACACTTTTCTCTGTGACGCACTTAGAATATAGAATTGCACCGCACTAGACTCCGAGACGGGTGCAGCAAACTGGGTCAATGCGCCCGCTGCGATGATTACACTGTGGCGGGGACGCGTCACGTCGACCCACCCTGTGGCGCGTCACGTCCGCGTTTTCACTCTGCTCTGTGACTACTTCGAATATAGAATGGCACGGCATTGGATTCCGTGACGGGTGGCGTCGAACTGGGTCAGTGCGGCCGCCGCGACTCTATTCTGTGGCACGCCACGTCCGCGTTATCACTTTGTCGAGTTAAGATGTTAAACATTATTCGTCCTAATAGGATGATAATTCATAAAATTTTTAAATACTTATATTACCATTCGGTCAGTATTCTATTATATTCCTAATCCCGATATCAAACGTGCAGCGGACTTCGGCGTGTCGGCGAAGAACAAGTCGACTCTTCAGAAGCACGACACCTTCATCGGGACCCCGTACTGGATGGCGCCGGAGGTGGTGCTCTGCGAGACCTTCCGGGACAACCCCTACGACTTCAAGGTGGGCCCGGGTTCGATGTCTGCTCTTTTATGGCTGAAGAAACCTATTTAAGAGTCAAATTCAGAAACGGTACAGAAGTAGCAATCAGGAATGACCGACCGGTTTCAATGTTCTAGATGGCAGCTCGATTTTTTTTTATGTTAAAAGTTCCCAAGCGAGCATACGATTCACCTGATGTTAAGTGAATACCGCCGCCTATGGACATCTGCTGCACCAAAGGGTTCCGGATGCGTTGACAACCTTTTGAAAATTGGGCTCCGGCCAGCTCACTCACCAGACGAAACGCGAAAGTATTATACTTCCACTTTACGCCGGTCTTATGTAAAGTCGTGGTACTTATCCGGACGAGCCTGCCCATTCGTGCAACCGCCGAGGCTGCTGCGTGGCCCTACCACAGTTAAAGGAGGTTCCTGCAACGCAATAGAAAAAGGCGAAAGAAACTCCGTATGTGGCCTCCTTTTTTGTAATTTTTTCCCCACAAAATTTTATATTATACAGTACCGTCAAAATTCTATCTCTAGCTACAGAATGATCGAATATTGAAACCGGCCATTAGTGAATATATCGACCGTTAAGATCAGTGACTAGAGCCTTTGGACGTGAGATCCGGAAGGCGCAGTTATTTTTTTTATGTAAAAAGTTGCCAAGCGACCTAGCGGGTCGCCTGATGTTAAGTGAATACCGCCGCCCATGGGCATCTGCTACACCCGTGGCAACGCGAAAGTATTTGTTGTACATGCACTTTACGCCGATCTTCAGTTACGAATCCCGGTGACGGCGGAGAATCTTCACATTTTTAAGTGCAGGAACTAGTGCTGAAAACTGAAAACTTGATCGCAGGTGGACATCTGGTCGCTGGGCATCACGCTGATCGAGTTCGCCCAGATGGAGCCGCCCAACCACGAGATGACGCCGATGCGGGTGCTGCTCAAGATCCAGAAGAGCGAGCCGCCCTCGCTGGAGCAGCCGTCGCGCTGGAGCGCCGCCTTCAACGACTTCGTGGCGAAGGCGCTCGTCAAGGTGCGCTCCGACCCGGGTTCGAGTTTCACCGGCAGATAGTGGGCAGCCGGTGCTCTGGTGGCTCACACCAGCCGCTACGAACTCTATGGTGGACAGTAGCCTTCTGCAACACATAACCAAGTTTATTTTTATGCGAGTAGGCAAGCGAGCTGGCGGTTCACGTTATTTTAAGTGATGACCACCGCCAAATTATAATAATTTCGAACAAAAAAAAACCGACTTCAAACAGGAAACTAATAAAACATTGTCAACGTCTGTAACATTTGAGGATTGCCCTCGATTTCTCTGGGATGCCATCATCAGATCTGGGGTACCACCCTTGGGATATCTCCTTTCCAACAAAAAAAGAATAATCAAAATCGGTCCATAAATTGCGTAGTTATCCCCGAACACACATAAAAAAAATAAAAATATACACGGTCGAATTGAGAAAATCCTCCTTTTTTGAAGTTTGTTAATAAAATGGGCCGCGGCTAACTTACCTACCGGACGAAAAGCAGAATTATAACTCTTCCACTTCACGCCCGGTCTTTTGAGAGGTCGTGGTGCTCCCCGGATGGAGCTGCCCATTCGTGCAACAGCAAAGACTGCTGCTTGGCTTTACGAATGTTACCAAGTCGTGGCGGTCGTCGCCAGAGGTATATCCGGACCGATACGACTTCCTTCCCAACGGGACCTTCGAGATGAGAGCCTATATGTTCCTCAAAGGCCGGCGACGTATTTGTGTTTCTTGTTTTGCGCATATACATAGGCGCTGGAGAACACTTACCATCAGGCTGCACGCGGGCTTCTTTGCCTCCATTTTCATAAAAAAAAAGTGCGGTCGTGCATTTTATTGTAACTCGCAGACAAATTCAAACATTTTGTAAAATCTACCCTTTATATATAATGTCAAAAAAAAAATAAATTGAGGGAGGATACTACACGTAAACAAAATTTCTGCTGCTCATTTTTATACTTATATTATTTAAAAAAAGAAACACTGCAGAGTTTCTTGCCAGTTCTTCCAATTTAGCGAACCGGTAGTAGCGTTTTTACGTTCCATAAGAGCCTAAAACAAGCCTGTGTCGAGTAGAGAGTCCTATCCGCCCAGGAGCCGGAGAAGAGGCCGACCGCGGGCGATCTGCTGAGGCACGAGTTCGTGAGCGGGGAGCTGGACTCGAAGCCGCTGCGCGACCTGCTGCTCGAGTACAGGGCGGAGGTGGTCGAGGAGGAGTTGCTGGACGACGATTCGGAGGTGGGCCCCAAGCCGCCACACGTCTCCGTACATCTCTACGCGTACTCTGCCTCCCCTTCTACTCCTGAAGCTACTCCATCCGCCTTAACTCCTGAACCAAGCCATTGCAATCTCGCAGAAATCCCCCCCTCACCCTTCATCCGCTTTAACTCCTGAACCAAGCCATTGCACTCTCGCGGAAACCAACCCTTCTCTTCATCCGCCTTGACTCCTGAACCGAGCCATTGCAATCTCGCGGAAACCAACCCTTCTCTTCATCCGCCTTAACTCCTGAACCAAGCCATTGCAATCTCGCGGAAATCCCCCCTCTCCCCCCCATCCCCCTTAACTCCTGAACCAAGCCATTGCACTCTCGCGGAAACCAACCCTCCTCTCCATCCGCCTTATCTCCTGAAGCAAGCCATTAAAATCCAACAAAAATTTTACCTCTCCCTTCCTCCACTAATCATAGTCGCCCCACATCCCCGAACGGCTCTGCACATACTTTTCGACTTCTAAATGCATCTCTATACACCTTCATCTCGAACTTCCCCTTCTAATCCTGAAGCTCTCTACAAGTTTTCCATCGCTAACTTCCTCTCCAACTCCTGAAACTTTGTTCATACTTTTCCATCTCTTAATTCCCTTCTACTCCTAAAAATCTATACATACTTTTCCATCTCTAATTTCCCTTCTACTCTTGAAGCTCTATACATACTTCTCAATCCGCCTGCACTCTTGAAACAAATTGATATTTGTAAAGCGACACAATCTTACAGTAACACAAAATACCTTATAGCCCCACACAAAATGATGAATGTATGTTTTTTGTAAAACAAAACAATATAACCTTATACTACCTGCGTATAAATTAGACAGTAGAAAAGACAAAAGTATCCATTTTCATCATCATAATTGATCGGTTTTTAGTAAAGCTAATGCTATATTCGACACTGGTTTGTTAAGCTAATATTAATTAATCTTTTATGTATGTATTGTGTGTGACTAATTCTTAACACCCGATCTCGCTGTTTACCCCCTATCGCACGCTTACTAACACCGGGAATAAAGTCGAAGTCGAGACGGAGCAAAGCGAAAAACAAGGAGCAGTACCAGAGAATTGGTTAGTATATAGGATTGGTGTCGGAACCAAGCTAAGGCGTGTCGGCTCTATAAACTGTCGGTGTATAAACGAAATTCACAATTAATCCTAATTTTATACCCTTGGAAATGCCACTGTGGCCCGGTTTAAGATATTGCCCCATGCACCGAGGGCCGTGGGTTCGATTCCCGGTTATTTTTTTTTTTTATGCGAAAAGTTGTCAAACGAGCTGTGTCAAACGGTTCACCTGATGTTAAGTGAATACCGCCGCCCATGGACATCTGCCACTCCCGAGGGTTACAGATGCGTTGACAACCTTTTGAATAAATTGTTCCAGTAAGGGTGTTTTTTGTCAAGGTTTTAAGAAGGTGCCAAGCAAACTGCCAAATCCCCTGATGTTAAGTGACAACCGCCTCACATGGCCAAAAATGCATCCAGGCTACCTCAAATAAAATCAATCAACAAAATATAATACTTCCAATTCACGCCGATCTTCCGTCAGTCTGTGGTACTTCCCCGGATTAACCCATTCATGCAATGGCAGAGCTGCTACGTGGACCAACCAAATATTTCCTGTGTTAAACTTCGTTCTGAGCAGAAAATCATAAAAGTCTATACTACGTCTATCAACCGGAATCGCAACGTATTGTCGATAGTATACAGTCCTAGAATTATTTTATCGGCTAGAACTTCATAATTTGCTTTTGCAGACCATAGCACAAGTGGCGCTTTGGAGACTACTAACCATAGTTGTACTAATCGTAGTTGTACTAATGCTAGTCGTGTTAGACTTTAGGGCCGAGCCACGTGCGTTAATTGTTTCGTTTGTGTGTTGCTTACATTGCATGCGAATCGGACGGCCAGCCGCGAGAGCCACCGCCGCCGTCGAAGGTACACGCTATTATGTGCTTTATTACTAGCACATTACGGGTCATTTTATTTTCAATTCTATGCCCTCCCCCGTCCATCGATTATGTGCTTTATGACTTTATGTTAGGGGTCATTTTATTTGTGTATTCAAGTGAAACTTCTAATGAGACCACCAACAAGGTTGCGTTAAACGTTTAACGCTACCATGGAGGGGGTATGAAAGCACTGTGGCGTTAAACGTTAAACGCTCCGTGGGAGGGGGAATAGAAAGAGACAGAGCGAGAGTGAATGCGCGGCACTCAAAGTTACCGCGCGAAGGGACCATTCCTCCGTTTTTAACACTCGCAGCAGATTATGTGCCTCATTTACTCCCAATAACGTTCCATTTCCAAAAAAATTCGATTTGGCTATGGTGATTGCTTCTCTGACGTTCGCAGTTTATAATAGTTACTGCCATGAGGCCTGACTGTTAGAGCAATTAAAAAAAATTCTATATGCCATTTCTGAAGAGTGAAAAATGTGGATTTATTTATTTTTTCATTTAAGGACAGATTTTTTTGTTATTATCTCAACGCTATTTACATGGTGCGCTTCGTTTAAAAGTAATTAATACGAAACAAAAACTTTAATATTGTATATGTGTTGCTTTCAAATTATGTATTTACGCTTACTTTATTGTATACATAATTTTATATCTGTTGTTGAAACTGTGTATCAAATCAGTATCTAATTTTTGCTGTTGGTCACTTTTCTTATAATTGAAAAATGGTCATTGTTGCTGAAATCTATACATTAAGGGTTGGGGCGATAAAAGTAAAATGTTTATTTATTTTTATGATCTTAGCTATTTTTACTAACTGGAAACACCTGTAAATGTTGCATTCAATATAAGTACGTATCTAAAAGATATTAAAAAAAACGCGATAAAATCCGTAAACTACTTTTGTTTAATATTAAATAAACCTTTTATTTTTTTTATATCAAGTTATATAATTTTATTTATTTGCACTTTAGAATAGAGATTTTTCCGAAAAAAGAGTTTTTCGGGAGTATTACCCTAGTTTAGTTCTAAACCATATACAATCATGTAAAAAACATGTTAACATTTATTTCATACCATTTATTATCGATAATATCGCACCAATTATATTATAGTAACAAATACAATGAGTTTAGTCCAATGCTCCGCTTAATTTCTCCTCGATTGTTGACAAGTATATTCAAGATGTAAATTTATAGTTTAAACCAACCATACGCATTTTAATTTCAAAAATGTTGCTTTTACAAGTTGGGTGAATATCAAAGGAGCATTTAATTTTTGTTTATGATATGTCCACAAACTACACTAATAAACATATCCGTACGTTTCGCAGGAGCATCGCAGCTCTCAGATGCATATGGAGATGGAAGATGACTCGACTTCGGTGAGGTCGGGCGAGACGCCGGACATCAAAAGTGAGTTTTTTTGTTTTTTATCGGGCAAAAAAATATTTTTTTTTAAAATATTTAAAAAAAGAAATTTTTTTTGCCCCATTGCGAGTGACAACCCTAGCCATTAGACATTAGCATCACTCAAAAAAAATTTTTTTTAAAATGTCTTAAAAAAATTTTTTTTGCCCGATAGCGAGTGACAACCCTAGCCGTTGGACATCAGCATCACTCAAAAAATTTTTTTTGCCTGATAGCGAGTGACAACCCTAGCCAATGGACATCATCATAACGGCCGAGGTGGCCTCTTCTCTTTTTATTTTAGTCAAACACCACCCCACACTGGTATAACGCGGATTCAAATTAAACATGGAACCGGATCAATTGTCTGTAGGCTATTAGAAAGATGTCCCGCGTGGGAATCGAAGCCACGACCAACAGTGCCAAAATCCATCGCCTGACTTCGCCAACCGAATCATCGGCGGGCTCTACATCTAGAATAGCGCCATAGACAATACTTATCAAGATTACCGTCCAATTTTCTTCCATTTTAATACAAATTTGTCTAATGACTATAAATTACCATAAAATTTTTTCATAGCAAAAGTGACGTCTCTTATTTTCAAATATTTCAAATAGTGTCATATCAAAAAGAAGAGTCGCCCACTGTAAATAAGAGCAAAAGTAGATAAATAAGTTGAGATTTTTGATGGTGTGAAGGTGTGCCGTTCATCTCAGCGGCTAGAGCGCCGGGCGCGTGGCCCGGAGGACGTAGGTTCAAATCCTCGCGGAGTCGCTTCCGCGCTTCGTCCGGTTTTTCTAATTATGCCTAATTTCAAACATTGCCCGCGTTTCCGTTTCAGTGTCCGAAGAGCCGCCCGCGGGGAGCGCCCCCGCCCCCGCGCCCTCCCCCGCGCCCACGCCCGTGCCAGCCCCCGCCCCCGCCCCCAAGCGTCCGCACGACGACGACCACCAGCTGGCTGACAGGAAAGCGCCCGTAAGTATACATATGTCCGATAGGGGCACCTTTTCTCTGTAAGTGTTGCTAAATGTCTGTAGATAAATATTGATAACCAATTAAATCAGGACAAAGTTCTCGTTAAATATTGGTAATGGTTTAAAGCCCTCCATTGTACACATTCGGTTGGGATTGGAGTCGTGATAAAATTTTTGATCTTTTCGAACAGTTTAGAGTGTGATACAAGCAAGCTATGCCGGAACATATCGCATTCGCATCGCACACTTTAAGGTTTTTTCCCTGGGTTTCCTTTTTTTTTTATAGGATTTTACTTCGCCGAATTCAATGAAAACGATTGTATGTAATATAAAGTCTTCAAGTCTATATGTCTTAAAAAATATATTTACACGTATTTTTTTACCGTAAGTACGTTATGCACGAACATAGCGCATAAATTAAAAAAAAAAACAAATTTGTTTCCGCAGGCGCCCAAGAAGGAGAAAGGCCCCGCGCCCCCGCCGCCCGCCGTCGCCTCCATCCCCTCCGCCCCCTCCGCGCCCGCGGCCGCCGCCCCCTCCACGCCCGCCACGCCCGCACCCGCCCCCCAGCCCTCGCCGACGCTGCCGACACAGACCGCCCCCCACACCCCCTCAGCGCATGCCCCCGTCAGCCCCGCCCCCGCCGCCACTGCCCCCGCCCCTCCGGCGCCCCCTTCGCCCGCAACGCCCTTCGCCGCCGCCGCGACCGCCACGGCCTCTGCAGCGGACAGCCCCGCCCCCCGCACGCCGCGAAAACAGCCAGCGCCCCCTCCCCCGCCGGTCGCGGCAGCCGCCGGCAGGCACATCGTCGACCAGGTGAGGGTCCGTGCACTATTAGTGAGTAGGTGTGAGTTAGCCAAAGTCGAGTATCTGTTACGCCTGTTCTCATTGCTTGACTATGACTGAAAAATCTGTAAAAGATCTTGAAAATGTGGAAAAAACTTCAGGTTTATAGTCATTCCGATTTATTAAATATCAAGGTATTGGTACTCTTATTTCAAAAATTTTAATTGTTTAACTAAAATCATAATGTCTTTTATCAAGAGAAGCAATTGAAGATATAACAATGGATGCGCCAAGCATTGCTTCAAATGCTACGAAAACAATGTAGATAAAAGACGTTTTTTCAGGCCGCGAATGCCAAAGACGTGGGTTCGATTCCCACAGCGACGACAATCTTTTCGTACTTTTTCTACATATTTTAAACTCCTTTTTTCAATAATTTTGACAAAACGGTATCTGCATGAAAGCAACAATAGCAAACATATGTCAGTTGAGACGCTATCCATTCGTTTCAGGTGTGCAGAGAAGCAGAGAGAGCTGTCGAGGAGAAGTCACAGAAGATCACGCCAAAGACGAGCGCAGAGCCGGCGGCGATATCACGCTCCGAAGTGGACGAGAAGAGAGCCGCAGTGGAGTTGAGAGAGAAGAAGGAGCGATCCCGCTCCACTTCCACGGACCTGGACAGGGTGGTGGAGACGAGCAGGGTGAGCGCCGAGGTGAGCCGAATAGAGAGAGAGAACCGGTCCCGGTCGGTGGATGACAAGGACAGAGTCAGCGTGGAGGTGACGAGGGTCGGGAGGTTGGAGAAGAAGGAGTACTCGAGGTCGAGCTCCGTGGAGAATCGACAAGAGGAAGAGGATAGCAGAGAGAATAGGCAGCAAAACGCGGTGGAGATCAGGCCTCTAACGGTGAGAGAATTTAACGAATTAAAAATTGAATTAGTCTGACTAAATTTCTGTCTTTTCCTAATTTACGGTGCCTAATGTTTATGGATCTAGATAGAAAGGCGCAGAATAATGAATAATCTTGCTAAGCTTCGCGAAGAATTGACAACCCTAGAACTACCCGTATTATTTTGGGCCCGCAATCATTTAATGCGTGTCCTGTTGATTTGAGCCGTGATAGCTCAGTGTCCGGGCGCTCGCCTTAATTCAATATACTCGAGCAACCTGAGTTCGATCCCCGGTGTCGGCACCAATGAAGTTTTTAACTTTAAGTGCTGAATTATCACGTGCTCCGCGGTGAAGGAAAACATCGTGAGGAAACCTGCATATTTTCGAAATAATAACAAAAAAAAAAATGTATTTCGAAAATATGTGAAGTCCGCCAATCCGCAGTGGGGCCGCGTGGTGGACTATGCCCTGATACCCTCTGTATAGAGGAGGCCTTTGCCCAGCAGTGGGACATGTGTAGGCTGTTACTTTACTTTTTACTTTACTGTTGATTTGCAGCCGCCAGCCGGTGCCGTGACGGTGGTGGCGGTGAGCGCGGAGCCCAACTCGCTGGCCGCCTCCCCCGCCGGCCTGGTCACCGTCACCACCACCCACCCGCCCGTGCTCAGCACCGCTCTGACGGTAACCCACCCCACGCATACTTCGACCACACACCATCAACACAAATAATAGTTAAGCTAAGATAGTTAACTCACTTCGACCACAAACTCCACGCCCACGGACACAACAACCACAAACAAACTAATGATATTTAAGTCATGAGACACATCGATGGCGAACTTAGAGAATCTACCTGACCTGAGATAGCTTCATAACACACTGGTTGAGATTTAGACTTAGAGCGATTATTGACTCCTCGAGGACATGGTCATATTGTTTCAATCTCTTCGATATTTTAGTCTCCCTCAGACTTGAAACGCTACTTTAAACACATTGATATGGTGGCTGAACAACGCAGCAGCATCTTATGTTGCATTAACAAGCTGCTATTTCTAAATTCAGCAATATACTCTAACCGTTGTTTTATACTTTTCCAAAGTATTTGTGGCTCCGCGTAACGGTTTTTTCTCAGGCACTTTTTAAACATTTCTTGATCCCTGTGAGCGCGCATACGCACCTCGACGTCAGTGTTCGTAAAATTAATTCCACAGTGTTCTGAATTTCCATGTACATTTTCTATTGAGTAAACTATTACTATATGTCGAATATAATAACCTACGTAAATATAATTGACAAAGAGATGGTTATACCCTATTTCTTATTAATTAGTTTACCATAGGATGCTAGTGAATAAATATTTTTAATATTGTAGATATTATCGCTTGATATTAATGAATCCTTGGGACATTATCAAAATACCTACTTACTATAAAGTGTATAGTTTTGTTGTTATGCTTGTTAGCACATGCAGCCTGTATTAATTCGATTGAGGTAAAGCCCAAAATTCTGTACTTCTAAGTAGGCATCCAAATATTATCCCGAGTTGATTTAAGCAACTGGAGCAGCGGCGAACTATGAGCTCAAAGAATATCATACATTTAATACAAATATAACTGATTGTTGTTTGTACATAGAAGATATTTGAGAAAAACTTTATCAACGCAGTAGTAGGTATATAACAGTACCCAAAACAATGATAGTTAAAATTATTGTCTGTTTATCTGTTTGTCTGTGTGCGCTAACTTGGCTAAAACGGCCTTTCCGATTTCAGTGCAACTTTTACAAATGCATTGTAGTAAGCTTCTCTTAACATTTATTGTTAGTTTTATTTAAGTGGGATGATAAATAAAATAGTTATATCAACTTAAAGAACCACATTGTAGATTTGAGCGATCAAACTATAGTTAACTATGGTCTGTAAAATGATGGTTTATATAAAGTTAAAAAAAATCGCCCAAGTGCGAGTTGGAGTTACGCACAACGGGTTCCATAGGTATTTTTAAGCACGATATAATGTGCGGGCGAAGCCGCGGGCGCAAGCTAGTTGTACAATATATTTCACTATTCAGTGGGTTAAAGTTAGATTAGTTAAGAGATAATGTGCGATTTATCGGACAAATCTTTACATCAAAAGGGACTCTAAAAGATTATTTTAACCAAATAAAATAGAATATTAAGGAATAAAAAATATAGTTCTTTCTAGACACGAATAAATAATAAGAGGACGAAAAAAAATATAGATTATTTCTATGTAGTCTAACCCAGAATATTTTTGTCACTTCTTGAAAGAGTTTAGAAAAGATTGCCAAAAAAAATTCTAATTTTTCATTGTTTTATTACCAGTCTAAGGCATTGAAATATGAAAAACGTTAATAAATCAATCAAGATTTTTTAAATTTTTTTGATTATTCTGTTCCTTTAAAAAAATTACTTGAATTGTAATTATTATAAATAAATACATTGTTTATAAGATTTTCAATTTTTTCTTTTAGGAATATGATGCTTAATGAAAATATGACATTTAAGAAAAAAAATTTTCACTGCTAAAAATGCTTTTTCTAAATTACAATTTTATGTTGCTTAGTGTTAACATTATGGAACGATTTTAATAAAATCATAATTTATCACGTTGTTACATCATAAAAAAATAATAATTTAATTCATTTTTTATTCGGGTTTGTGAACAGACGCTTGTTTATAAACAAACGAATTACGAAAAATTTTGTTTATTATTTTTCTGTTTTTTATATATAATTTTTAAAATTATTGTACACTTGGACTTGTTGTTACCTATCAGGTATTCTCCATTGCTATTAAAACTGCTTATAAACTATTGAAGATACGACTAGAACAATCCAAGTCTTATTTATTCTTCAACATTATTTTTTAAATATTGAAGTAGAAGTACATTCATTTTATACGTGAATTAAATAATTAACAGGTGAGTATTAATACCAATATTTTTTTTATTAATTATTACATGTAAATTCTTAAATAATCTATCACGCGCGCAACGAATTTACATTAAAATATAATGGTTGTGTTGCACGTGAATCTGAAAAGCGCGCGAGCGCTAGATATTGCTGGCCCTTTAAAGCATGTATTTAAACAAATATCACATTCACGAGATACAGTAATTACACACTAAATCAATAATAATGCACTAAATCACATACATATGGTATTGGATTAACAAATTTAAGCCGATCAACAAAAAACTGATTATACGTAACGCTGGATCAAACAACTCCTAGAACGGATAACTATATATATATATATTAATAAAGGGCCATTGGGCAAAGACTGTTCGAACTTTTCATCTTTCAACATAATTCTGACCGTAGCATTACATCAATGCCCAGGTCGACTGGTAGAATACTTTTGGGCATTAAGTCAACTATTTATTATCTGTTTTATTTAAGGCTGGCAACAAAGATTAAATAAATAAATAATAAACATACGATGACTCCGTGGCGCAGTTGCCAGGGTATTGGCTTCGGAATCGGGTGTCGTGGGTTCGATCCCCACAAGGAACCACTATTTCTGTGACCCGCAGATAGTTGTTTCGCATCTGGGTGTTTGTCCGCGTGAAATTTATGTCTGTAAAACGTCCTTACAGCACCGGTTAAATTTGTCCCAAAGTAAGGGCAATGTTTTATAAAAAAAATCCCCACAGTTGCCGCCCAACGCCGTGACCATCTCCACCACGCCGCCCATAGCCGACGAGGTGGTGATCGTGGGCGCCGGCTCGTCCTCGGACGACGACTGCTTCGCGCCCTCGTCCCTGGACTCGCTGGACTGCGCCAACTCCTGCAGCGGTGAGGGACCCTGCCCTAGTATTATGCGTATGTGTTGTTGAGTACGGTGAGTGGGCTTGTTTGTGCTAGTAATGTACATATGAGTTGAGTCCACTCGTACATATACAGGATGATTTAATGATGGACATATTAACAGAGCATATGCAGAATTTGATTCTAAATCTGAATCTGATATGTACTTGGTACCTCATTTTTTTTTTTAATTTAAGATTATTTTTAATTTTTTCAAACATTATGGACATATCTTTAGAAATTCCTGCCTTACCGTCCCATTGCAATAACCTATTCACAAGCACTAAAACTTTTCGCAGAACGCATGCTTACTAAACCTTTTATATATAGGGTGTCTATTCTTAACAGGACAAACAAACATTTTTTGGATTGATATTTTTCTGGTTATTTCTTGTCAAAACCAAATAATACTTTTTTTTAAATTGTGGAATGCTCAAGCTTACTTTTTTTTTAACTTTACACCACAAGATCGTTTTTAAAGAGGTGCGTTTCTCCTCCGCAGAGAAGAGCCGCGGCCGCCGGCTGGACAGCAGCGAGGTGCTCATCCTGAGCCCAGGAGCGGCCGGCGACTCTGGGGTCTTCGACGACAGCGCCGCCAACGGCCTCAACCTGGTTAGAATGGCCCCTTCCGTTTATTGAATCCAGCGCCATCTATCGAAAGTTTGCAGAATTATACAACTGAACAGAAAGCCACAGTCCGTCTCGTGCTGACCAATTTTGGAATTTTCGTAATGCTTTTTATAACACGTATCGGAATAAACAAAATAAGGTAGATTGATCGCCATTCCAGATAGAAAGAAATATATAAGTAGAATTGTCACATAAACTGTTACTTTGTAAGTACTAAAGCTTCGATCGAACTGTACTGATTATACCCCCCCCCCCCCCCCCCCACAGGATACCTCCCACGTGTCGGTGGTGACCGTCGGCGCGGAGGAGGTGCGGGTGCGCGACTCGGCCGCCACGCACATCGCCCTCGCCGCCCCGCGCCTCTCGCCCGACAGCTTCGACAGGTAGCCACGTCTCGCCCACGCACGCACACGCACGTACACGCACACGCACGTACACGCACTAACGCACACGCACGTACACGCACTAACGCACACGCACGTACACGCACTAACGCACACGCACGTACACGCACTAACGCACACGCACGCACTCACGTACTCGCACTAACGCACGCGCACGCACTCACATTTTCTGATACACACTGCATAGCAGTTGTGATGGACAGGCCCTCACTGAATACCGGCGTGAAGTGGAAGTGTGATACTCTTGAGTTTTGTCTGCTGATTGTTGTAACCGGAGCTCCAATTTTTTAACGTTGTAGATGAACATGACAACTGGTTATCCAAATATCAGGGTAACAGTCTAACCGGGTAAACTAATAGCCCTACTACACCGTTCCATCCTGTTTCACCGGCGCATTCTTGAAACGGCGTCACCTTTTTTTAGGTGCCTTTTAAAAGTTACAGAATGCTTCACATAAACAAATAAACATTATTCATTTAAAGAAAGGTCCTTTTATCGGCCATCGCAGTATACAACCATCTCTCACCACGCCTATGTTCATCAGTGGACAAAACTGGCTGAAATGATGATGATGGTGATATATACTTGGCTCATTATCATGCTTCATGTCAGTTTGTGGGGGAGGCCTATGTCCAGCAGTGGGACTAGAGTAGGCTGAAATGATGCTGAGAGATATATAAGCTATACAGATAAATAAAATTGGAGCGTCTGTTAGTAATATGAAAAATAACTGCGACAATAAATTAACACACGTCTAACGCTACTTGCCAATAGTCATAAAAAATATAAAACGTTAAAAAATCCATAAAGAAAAAAAATTTTTTTTAAACAAACTAATTAAATAAAAAAGAAACAAAATTTGTAACATCCTATACAACTACAACTGACTGATTCATACATTCATTCAGACACTTTTTCATTCGTCGCTGCAGCGACGCACTACAAATCCCTCTTTCTAACAGTATGGTTTTTCTCTTTCAAATTCATTCAACCCAATCATATGCTTTGTGACCTTTACAAATGAACTTTACGTTACCGTTTTATACGTGAGGGTGTTCTATAAACGTTAGTTTTGGAAAATTTAATTACTCGGTTAACATTGATGTTTAAAGAATGTAAATGTTTAATACAATTTCAAAAAGTTATCCTCTATATGTCGGTTCATTTATTGTCGCGTTTGTAAGGACACGCTGTATACAGTACATAACGCTGTATACAGAAAATAACATTTTTTGCAATTTTTGTCTGTCTGTTTGTTTGTTCCCGCTAATCTCTAAAAAGACTGGACCGGTTTCGACGGCATTTTCACTGGCATTTAGCTGATGTAGTACTTTTATTTATTTTAAATTCCACGCAGATGAAATCGCGGGCACAGCCGGTTGTTTATATCACATCGCCCTTCTCCAGCAGGCGCTCGCGCTCCGACAGCGGTTCCGTGGCGTCTGCGTCGTCGCGGCGCGGCGCGGACGCCGACTCGCTGGCGACCACCGCCTCGCACGAGTCGGCGCACAACGCGCACGCGCACGCACACGCGCACGCGCACACGAATGCGCACGCGCACGCACACTCGCCCGACGCGCAACTCAACGGGGGCGCCAGGTGCGTGCGCCGCTCTCTTCACCCGGCCTGTCGCCAGAGCTGGATCATCATCACCACCGATGCAACCTTTTTGAGTCCACTGCTGAACTTAGCTCACGGTGGCAGCACGTGACACGCGTGTTCGCTGTTGCACGAATGGGCAGGTCCGTCCGGGTGGTACCACGACCTCACAGAAGACCTGCGTGAAGTGGAAGTATTATAGTTCTGCGTTTCGTCCGATGAGTGAGGAGGAGCCGGGGCCCACTTAATTAGGAGGTGGCAATGCATCTGCAACCCTACGGGTGTTGCAAATCTCCATGGTGAAGTGTCCATGAAGAACCTTTAAAAAAGCGGGCCCCGGTTACCTTACCAGGCGAAAAACGAGAACTTATTACATACTTCCACTTCAGGCCGGTGACTAAACAAAGTCATTTAATAAAAAAGAAGCAAAATTTGTAACACCTATACAACTGCAACTGACTGATTCATACATTCAGAGACTTTTTCATTTGTTGCCACAGCATCGTATTGCAAGTCTCTTAAATTAATTTAACGAATTCATATGCTTTGTGATCTTTACAAACGAACTTTACGTTACATTTTTATATGTATGGATGTTTTAAACTTATTTGTTTTGGAAAATTTAATAACTCTGTAAATATTGCCTTCAGGGTGAATACCGATAGCCAGGACTTGGACAACGGAGAGCAGGTCGTGCTGAGGCGGAACCGCCAAGATCCATCGAACAGAATGCAAAGGTGAGGTCCTAATGGTATGCTTGGCAATTCCTCATGGTCTGCTAACACAAAAACATATCTGATTATAACTACAGCTAACCCTAAAAGATGCTTCAATAGCACAGATTTTCCAAATACACATATTTCCTAACCCCAAAACTATCAGGTAATCATGATTTCTATTTACTTCACTTTTACTGTTATAATTTGACCTTTTTCCCATTCCTCTTATCGCATGGGTTTGGTACATTATTTATATCATGTTGTTGTGTACTTCAATCATCTATCATGTCGTAATGTTGTTAGATAGTTACAATGCAAACTACAAACCCAATGGACCTAATTCAAATTTTAAAGCATTAATAACAGCCGGTTTCAATATTCTATGTGGAAATAGATTTGGTTATTAGCTATATATATTTGACATTAGCTCCTAAATACTTACCTCAAAATTCTCTCTCCTGTATAGGCTGTATATAATGAAACAATTTTTAAAGCAGCTTATCAAAGAAAGAGTTCTAGTTATGCGAGTTTCCGTGTATATGTATCTTTAATGATAATTTCTCGTCATATATAATAAATATTTCATACATACAACCAATATTAATATTTACACATATCATAAATGCACCGTGCAAATATATTGTCCGTTTTTTAGATCAAAGGAGGACATTCACATGGCGAACCTGAAGAAGAAGACGCGAAAGCGCACGAGAAAGTTCGAGATCGACGGCGTCGTGGTCACCACTACCACCTCCAAGGTAAAAAAAAAAACTTGATGATTTGTAATGGTTAAAATAATGAATCTAAGAAAGATTTGAAACGAATCAATGATCGTGACAATTATGATCCGAAACAATTAGCCATGGGTCACTGAAATAGTTGTCACGTATGAGCATTGAACCCACGACCCCAGCCGCTAAGCCAATAGCTTAGCAAATGTGCCGGCGATTCATCATTGAATGTACTTTTAAAGTAAAACTTAAAACATTAATAGTAAAATTATTATACTATTGCTGTTTGAAGTGATTTAGAAATCTGTAATGTCTACTATACTCTATTTAGAAATCTTTAATATCGACTGTAATGTGTGTGTTAAATATAAGAAAATGGTAGGGAATTTCTTTTGCATGAATGCATAGGCTCGTCGGGGTAAGTACAGTACATGTACCAAAATAACATTTTTTGCAATTTTTATCTGTTTGTTCCCGCTAATCTCCGAAACGCACAGACTCGCAGAAGTGGGAGTATTAGAACTTTGCGTTTCCCAAGTGGAGTGTGGGTTTCTTCCGGTCGAGCTGACGACACTCTCTCACATATCCAATCGCTGTATGACAGTAGATGTTTCTCTCCATGTAACGTTCACTTGTCCGTGGTGCAGGTGATATGGGGCGACGAGGAGAGCGGCCGCACGTGGGATGACCACGCGCTCCGCAAGCAGGAGCTGCGAGAGATCAAGATGCTGCAGAAGCAGGAGCAGAAGCAGTTCCAGGACCTCGACGCGAAGGAGCAGCAGCTGCGCGAGCAGCAGGACAAGAGGTACAGGAAACGCATCGGACTTCGTACTGTGCCCTATTACCCTCCGTACAGAGGAGGCTTTTGGGGCTAACCCAGCATGGGGCCAGTATAGGATGCCACTGTACTTACTATACGGATACGTTTAACTATAATAATTATTATATTAATTCATCTTATGTTTATAAATATTCATTTGTTGAACTTTCAACAAGTTGTCGACGTTGGACGAATGAAGCTGCACTGATATTTACCATAAGGTGTGATATCAGACAGGTACCAGGTAATCCCTTAAAAAAAAAAAGCAGTAAACTTCAAACTGAGGAGTCTACTTCTGTGTTCGGGTCACGAGAGTCTTTTTGTTGCCCGAATGGGTTGGTCCGTCCGGATGGGAGCCACTGCGTAACCACGACCTCAATGAGAACCAACGCGAAGTGGAAGTATTATACTGCTGCGTTACGTCCGGTGGGTGAGTGTAGCCGGGGTCCACTTTATTAAAGCTTGGCAACGCATCTGCAACGGCTAACGTTTGTCAACCAACATCAGGTGAACCGCTTAGCTCGCTCGCCGTTAATTAAAAAAATTTCAACAATTTTGAACGCTAACTTCGAGCGCTAGGCCCCTAAAGGCCGAGGAGGCACTAAGGGCGTAATAGCGTCCTCGCTAAGAGCCGGTCGGCGTCGCAGGTTCGAGGCGGAGCTGGGCGGGCTGGCGCGCGCGCACGAGGCGGAGCTGGAGGCGCTGGCGCGGGCGCAGCGCGGCGCCGCCGAGCGCGCCGAGCAGCAGCTCGAGGCGGAGCTGCGCGCGCAGGCCAAGCGGCTGCGCGCCGAGCACGAGCGCGACCTGCGCCACTTCCGCGACACGCTCAAGCAGGAGCTGCGCCTGCTCAAGCAGGAGGTCGAGCTCGTCGCCAAGGTGACGCCTCAGTAGCTCGTCGCGCTGCTCGAGTATCTTTAAGATCATCCCGGCGCATCACATAGACTCCGCACTCTCCCCGTATAGGTATCTTAAAGATCACATGTGCCCCGTTAGTTACATAGATTCGTAATTTTCATTACGACCTGTGGATAAAGGGAACGAGCCGTTGCATTACATACGGAAAGTGAGTTACTACACTTTCCGTATGTAATGCAACGGCTCGTTAGGAAAACGCCTCGTTTTGTTAATATAGAAACAGGGCGTACACGCCTTTTATTTATAGGTAGTTATGAAAGTTACGAAAGCAATGTGACTAACGCCCGTTTGTTGAATATACGGTGGTAGGGCCACGCACCAGCCTCGGCTGTTGCACGAATGGGCAGGCCCGTCCGGGTAAGTACCACGACCTCGCAGAAGACCAGCGTAAAGTGGAAGTATAACAAATACTTTCTCATTTCGTCTGTTGAGTGAGGTAGCCGGAGCTCAATTTTATAAAGGCTGTCAGCGCATCTGTAACCCTCGGGTGTAGCAGATGTCCATGGGTGGCGGTATACCATCAGGTGAACCGTCTTCTCGTTTGGCAATTTTTCACATTAATAAAAAAAATAGGAACCGGGCGATAAACACCGCACTCCCTTCGCATAGTAAAGGTTCGGTCGGAGAGCCGAGCCGGCGGGACGCTAAAGCGACTGGCGGTGTGGCAGTCGCTTTAGCGTCCCGCCGGCCGTTCGTGTTGCGCCGAGCGTGATTTTTTTGGCCATTTTTAAACAAGACGATGGTTGAACGCAACGATTTTAGAATCGCGGCACTTGTGCACTCGCAGGAGCGGCGCAAGGAGGCGTACCGCGTGCGGCGCGCGCGCCTCGACGCGGAGCACGCCGAGCGCGAGCGCGCCTTCGTGGCGGCGCTGGCCGAGGCGGCGGACGCGGTGCTGCGCCGCGTGCACGAGCACCACCGCGAGCGGCAGGCGCTCGCCGACCGCCAGTACCTGCAGCAGCGCCACCAGGTGACTCCAGCTCTCGCTACGCCCTCTGCCTTCCTTTCCCTCCCTCTCTCTCTCTATCTCTCTCTATCTCTGCCATCCGCCCCCTCGTCTGTACACCGGGTCACATCAGGTCTCGCTACGCTCTCTGCCTTCCTTGCCTTCCCTCTATATCTCTACCCTCCGCCTCATCTATATCCCTGTCTTTCTCTCTTCCCCTTCCTCTCTCTCTCTCTGAGTTTAAAGAGTAGCTATAAAAACATATCAAATGCGAGTCGAAGCCGTACGTCGAGGGTTCCGTACCTACCCATTACACCACCATAATAAAATTGGTAAATAATCACCACCGATCTTCAATACGGACGAACAAGAGTCTCATAAGGATTCCTATTTTTACCTTTTAATGTACGGAACCCTAAAAATCATAATGAAAAACAGGGTGGATGTCCGGTTCACGTGGGAAATATGTCTGTGAACTGTCCTCCTCGTCCACAGATCATGCGCACCCGCGAGGCGGCGCTCTGGGAGCTGGAGGAGAAACAGATCCACGAGCGGCATCAGCTGGCCAAGCGGCAGCTCAAGGACGAGTTCCTGCTGAGGCGGCACCAGATGCTCGTTCGCCACGACAAGGAGTTGGAGCAGATAAAGAGGTGAGACACAGTCCCTCTCCGCTATTTATTTACTGTTTATGAGCAAATATATGAAGCACGGTCTTTCTCTACTATTCTTATACAGGGTGGCTTTTCTAAAGGTAGATAAAAAAAGGCTTTTCTTAGAAATGCAATGCATTAATATCTGAATAAACGTGGACTTAATACCATCAACATTATCTGCCAGTAAACTTTGGGGTGGTCCTGTTTGTTTCAAAAGTTTATTTCAAATCGACGCCTGATTTTAGCATTAAAAAAAATAATCATTAGAATTGCTTCGAAAAAACTTTCAATCATTTAGTAAATTATCGACGTTGCCAGTAGAAATGTAAGCAATAAAGAAAATTTTCAACAATATATATATATATATATATATATATATATATATATATATATATATTTAGATTTATATATTTAGTGCTATTCTGAACAAACCAACCAAATAATTCTAAGTTTAAATATCACTGAAAACACCTCTCGTTTAAATTTTCCTTCTGAAATGTCATTTGAGCATGCATTAAAAAAGCAAATGTAAAAGTGGACAGTTGTCGATAATAGAGCATGACGCACTTTAGCTCTGTAAACTTAATTATTCAGGAGATGCATGTTTAAAATATCGAGGTATATATCTGTACCTCAGAGGTAAAGAGCATTATGTGACAAAACACAAATTTTACAGGAGAGGCATAAATGCGTGAGTGAATCCTTGAATGCATATTTATAATGATGTCATTTACGATTGGATATTTTATTAATTAGGCGTCGTACCTTATACTGCTGACTAGAATTTGTTCTTGCGATTTTAATGGTGTAAGAAAAGTAATTTTGAAAAATGTGGAGTTACTATTGCATGCCTCTGAGGTACAGAAATGTAAAAGTGGACAGTTGTCGGTTGCCGGCGTATTCGCGGCGTAGGACACTGGCACTTTATTTCAGTAAGATATCGAGAGTTTAAATTTGTACAACGCATCGTGTCCACAGGAAGAACAGCCGGAAAGAGGAGGAGCTGGCCAAGTGCCAGGCGCTGGAGAAACGCTCGCTGCCGAAGAGGATCCGAGCGGAGCAGAAGGCGCGCGAGATGATGTTCCGCGAATCGCTGAGGATCGCGGGCCCGCACGCGCCGGAGGACGACCGCGACCGCCTCAAGAAGGTGACGGATACCTCATTCCCGCCTGAATAATAAAAAGTAACCTGATGTTAAGTGAATACCGCCGCCCACGGACATCTGCTACACCCGAGGGCTTGCAGATGCGTTAACAACCTCAGGCTAACTCACTCACCAGACCACTCACGAGCCTGCCCATTCGTGCAACAGCCGAGGCTGCTGCGTGGTGCTACCGCAGACTTGAAATATTGTCCACCTTCATAATAAGTTGGGCTCCAATGTACTCGCATATCGAGCGAAACGCGAAGGTATTATGCTTCCACTTCACGCTGGTCTCCTGTGAGGCCGTGTTACTTCCCCGGAGCAGCCTGCCTGAGAAGCTGTTGCATAGTCCTACTTCTGTCGACACCACTTTTATAATCTACAAACGGATATAACGCCTCAATAGGTCTATTTGGAAAGCCCGTTCTGTAAATTCTGTGATGATGACGAGGAGGCACGGCTGCACCCGTACCCCGATTCCCCACGCACAGTTGTATACGCACCACACTATACGTTGGGAACTGGGAGTGCCCAATTTGGCAACCGAGGAAGCCCAGACTCTTAGCCCCTCATCTACGGTCAACTTCGTTAATGTTGTTGGTTTGGCGGAGGCTATCTAGCTTCGAAGGGAAGACTACAGAAGACCTGGGCTGCAGTGGTTGTTGGGACTTACTAGCCAACTTGATATGGCGTTATGATTTGTATGACCCTTTCATATCAAATCTTTACTAGTACAGATAACTTAAAATACCTTGTAAAGTAACAAGTGACAATTATTTTTAGTTTAGATCTTTTCAGTTCCCTCTAATAATAAAACTATACCTATGTTATATTGTTATCTGATCTTTTTTTAAAAGAGCAACTGTTGAATTTGTTGTCGGTCTAGTCTCAACAGAAACTGCTTTCATCAACGGTGGTAACTTACAAACTTATGTATTTGAATAAAGATATTTGAATAGGATTTGTTGTGAATTCCATTTGTTTTACAAACAAAAGCTGGACATGTACCAGCAATTTATAGATCTCACAAATTCCGGTTCCAGGTGTTAGTGACCAATGCCAGTTTGCATGGTGACCATATAAAGCTTTGCATCTTAGGGTACTAGTACAAAATTTCAAGTTAAAAAGGGATAAGGGCAGGAGGGCGATAATCCGTAATAAAAGAAATATTTTTCAAACAAACTTATTAAGTAAAAAAGAATCAAAATTTGTAACATCCTTTACAACTATATCTGACTGATTCACACATTCAGAGACTTTTTCATTTGTTGCCACAGCGTCGCATTACAAGTCTCTCCTTCTAACAGTATGTTGTATCTATTTTAAATTCATTCAACCCATTCATATGCTTTGTGACCCTTACAAATGAACTTTATGTTACAGTTTTATGTGTAAGGTGTGTAATGTTCTAAAATTGTTTATTTGGGAAAATTTAATAAATTATAAAGTTATCTCTATATGTGTTCATTTATTGTCGCGGTTGCAGCGCCACGCTTTATATGCAGCATATATTTGCGACGACCCGAATGGCGTAGTGGTTAGTGTACCTGCGTCCTGCGCCGAAGGGTGAGGGTTCGATCCCCACTACTGGAAAAATATTGTGTGATGAACATGGTGTTTTTCTAGTGTCTAGGTGTTTCTATATGTATAATATGTATTTATTTACAAAAAAAAAAAGTATGTTTAAGTATGTTTATCAGTTTTCTAGTACCCATAGTACAAGCTTTGCATAGTACAAGCTAGTTTGAGACTAGAAAATGTTGTATACAAAGGTGTCCTAAATATATAAAAAAATATATATATATATAAATATATATATTTAAACGGTACGGTGTGTAAACAGTTCCAGGAGAACGAGAAGCGACGGTATAGAGCCGAGCAGCAGAGGTTGGCGACAAAACACGCCAAGGCGAAGGAGGAGCTGAAGGCCGCTGGAGAGGTACAAATCTCATATATGTTCGCGTATCTCTAACGGTTTTCTTTTATATCTACATCTGTAACTTTTGTTAGTGGAAATAGAATTTTCACGTATTATGGAGCTAATGTCAAATACTGAACGCTAGTGACCAAATGTACAGATAGTTAGAATATTGAAACCTGGCCGTTAATCGTAATGGTAATCGATAAGAGTTTACCATTGATAACAAGGAGTTATCAATTTTAAACTCTTGATTTGTTTCTGGAGGACACTGAAAACCTGCCAAGCCCTAGTCGGACTCGCGTACGGAAGTTTACGTACGTACCATTATCTATAAAAACGGCAAAAAAGTCATATCTGTTCTATGAGAGCCCAAGTTAAATATTTTTTTTTATTCTGTCTGTCTTTTAGTATTTGTTTTTTATAGAAGTAACAGAAATACATCATCTGTGAAAATTTCGACTGTCTAACTATCACGGTTCATGAGTTACAGCCTGGTGACACAAACGGACAGACAAAATAGGGCCCCGTTTTACCATTTGGGTACGGAACCTTAAAAAAAGAACCATACCAAACTTTTTCAAACGGCGTCGTTGTTACTCTAGATTCCAATCGTTTCCAGTCTTGATGTGTCCTCAATATTTTCAATCTCTCTCTGACCACTTCATATCAGGCAGGGGTCTTATATAAGAGACTTGAGGGTAGGCCGAAAAAAAATATTCTTTTGTCTCCGATTAGGTGTAGACGTTTTCATTGATCCGACAATAACATCCCCCCCCGCCCCCGCCCCCGCCGTCTCTCCTCACAGGCGATGCTCCGCGAGCTGGAGCAGTACCAGAACGAGAAGCGCAAGGCGCTGATGAACCATGAGAGCAGCAAGATGAAGGCGGTCGAGGAGAGATACGCCCTCGAGCTGAAGGAGTGGCGCGCGACCCTCGGCGACAGGAAGCTGGTGAGCGGCAAACGAAGACAGACACACATACACACACACACCAAGCGAACGCACACACGGACACGCCACTATACGGACGCACGCACGCACACTCTTACACCTTGGCAAAAATTTTAATTAATAACCGGAAAAAAATGTTTGCAATAAGAACCTTTTTTTTATTTTTTATTTTACCATGATTATAATAACGAATCTGTCTCAAAGTTTTTTTTTTTCGGCAGTCAAGTACAATCTTTATTGATCTAATATTTACAAGATTAAATCTATCCAAAATTACATATTATCTAATAAACCTAAACCACGCGGCATGGTGCCAAGAACGCTAGCTGCATTTATTTCCTAGCTGAATAGTTATGCTTAACCTTTGAGCGAGAAAAGAACCAGCTCTCTTGTCACCAGCCGCGGGCGTTAAGCCTAGTAGGTCTCAAAGTTATGTGCCCTTCTAAGTAAATTTTGTTTGTAGACAATGTTATAGTGAAAACAGATTAAATAATTATTTGCAGTTTAGATAAAGATGAAAGTTACATTTAGATAAGTATAAAATTGTGATAATATTTCCATACTGCCATTCAGTCGCATTTATAATGGCTCAAAATTACTTATCAATCATCATCAAATTATAATCAGTAAAATCCCTTTTTTATAAAAAGGGACACTCATTGATTACATAAATTCAATCCAATCATCATTTTGTTCTTGTTTTGTTAAAGTTAAGTATTTTTATTTTTCTTTAATTTTGTGTCTCCAACCAAACTCCACACATTGCACTCAAATCATACAAAAAACAAGTGACAACATTATGTTTTTATTTAAATGTATGTGTTGCATGTCTGTGTATGGGAGCGGACTAACAGTAAACTGAAGCTAATGTAAAAGTTGGTCTTCAGGACATAAATAAATAGACAAGACTAAAATAATTTTTTATAAATTATAGAAAACCTTTTCCCTTGCATATTTAGAACACTGTCCGCTCCCAAACACAATGCACTGCGTGAAGTATGCATGTGATGCATGTTACTGCATGTTCATAATTTATTTATTTTGAATGTATATACATAATAGTTACGTCACCTATCGTGTCTAAAATCGTTTGCTGTAATTTTTTTTAATATCAATATTCGAAGAGACACTGATGTATGGGTAACTATTATTCTGGGTTTTGTCGCATGAATGGTATGGCATGCGGTGCGCGTGCATATAGCTTCGACTAATTTTTTTTTTTTTTTTTTTTTTTTTTTGTGGGTTTGTGGGTGGGGTTGGGGGTGGGTTGTTGGGGCGTGGTGATGGGTTACCGATAGGGGTGTCGCTGATTCTGTCAGTTAACCACCGGAAAGGACTTTTGAAATGCTTTGAAATGAATAACGCCGCCTCCCCCCCTGATGGCTTATTAAAACGAATGTTACGCGTTCTAAATCGCTAGCTTAAGCGACGCTCGGTTAGACGAGATAAAAGTTCGCCGGTACATTGGACCCGCAATAGGTTTTTTGGCAACAGATAAAGGCTATAGGTCCATAAGACGTGTCTATGGTGGTTTCGACAAATTACTCTAATTAATTCGCGCTGCACTCTCGGGCCCTGGACGGCGTCTGTCCAAAAAATCCCTGCGATCAGTTCGACGAGGTGATTTATTTCGGCGCATTTCAAAACGCCTTCGGTGACGACGGCGGGCGGGTCAGCCGCGCCAACTTGTGCCGTCCACGTCCGCGCCGGGTGACAAGCGACAGGCCTAACCGTTCTCTCGCACGACAGAACCTCATTAGCACGTTCGAGCGGCAGCTGGACGAGCACGAGAGAAAGTACGGGCGGCCCGTGCCCGACCGCTCGCTCCACCTGGACGCCCCTGGCCGAGGAACGTCCTGCAGCACCTGCTGAGCGCCCACCAGCAGCGCACCTCGTTCATAGGCTCGCTGTCCAGGTCTAGGACCAGCCTCAACCTGGCGCTCTCGTCGGCGGCCAGCACCCCCGACCCGGGCCGCCGGCGCAGCATCAGCCCCGGCACGGGCAGAAGGGGACGGCTGGCCAAGGCGCAGAAGTACGGCTCCACTTCCAACCTGAAGCTGGTCACGGAGAAGATATCCGGCTTCTCGGTGTTCCGCGGCGCCGACGACGGCCGCCGCGAGCCGATCATGGCATACTCCACACCAGAGCACAGAACCGGGGGAAGAGGTGTCATAGAAGAGGAGTCGACAGCGGCACGCGACAACAGAGATATGAAGAAGAGACACACCACATATGAATACAGCAGAGATGATATGGAGGAGAGGCGCGGCCACATCCACGGCTCGAGGGCGGACGATAGGAAGAGGGACGTCGCGATGGAGGCGGTGGTCATAGACCTTCCTTCGCTGGATGGCAGCAGCGACGCCGATGGCGAGGGTCGCACGGGCCACTTCAGCCGATGGGGGCCGGTGCGCGGCTCGAACAGCTACTCGGGCCGCGGCGAGGTGCCCGTCAGCCAGCTGTCCACGCGGGACTTCAAGGCGGCCCTCGCCGCGGACAAGGGCGGCTCCTCCGACTCGGTGGCGTAGCGGCCCTCGAAGTCCGGGATTCGACGCCACTAGGAGACGCGGTTTTGAAATTATCGTGTTCGGGAAACGCCGAACGAACGGGCAGACGTTGTTGAAGTGATCGATCGGAGGATCTTATACGATACGAAATGGCGTTCGGCCAAATTCTTCAGCTGTGGACGCTTCCGGACTGAGTGAAGGCTTCCCTTTTAAAGTATTTAGCGGTTTTACATTTTTTTTTTTTTTAATTTTAGCCGGTCCTATTTTTAGCGTTTTCGCGCGTGACGCTTACAAATTTCCGAGCCTATAAAAATATTGATATTATATAACACTGAACATCAATATAAAACAACCATTGGAGAACAGCCCTTGCTTGATACTGGATCTCTTTGGACTTTGGCAGAATGTTGATGATAAAATGGACATATTACCAGCCGTAAAATTGCAGAGAAGAGAGTAGATGCGTACGTGCAGGCGATATTTTGTTCATGTACTTCTAGGTAGTGTGTCTAATTTTGGTGTAATTATGAATATTCCGGCTTAACATAGACCGTTTGTTATTTTGAACGCTTAGCAAGTTACGGTAACAGTATTCATTGACCCTCTGGTAGACGAGTCACAACTTGTTATTATTTAATATGTTTTCATAGTGTTTAATTTAAAATTCAATTTCGCAAAATTTAATTGATTTTAGCGTACGTTTAGCTTTCATTGTGGGGGCGATATTTTATCGGACAACTTTTTGATATTTAGTGTAATATTGAGGAGGCCTATGTCTTAAGCTTATATTTTTGATGACGAAATTATTTATATAGTAATTGTTGAATTTGCATATTTTATCGTTAATGTTGAGGCATAATATTATATTATTATTGTTTACGGGTAGCTTTAAGTTACCGGCGAGGCTCAATTTCAGTGTTGCAAGCCTCGCCAATTGTTATACTGCCTAGATTTGCCAAAAAAAAGCCCTTAGCTATATCACATCAATGTGTCATTTGCCTTTACGAAGTTAGATTAGATTTAATATAAAAACAATATCAATTCCACTAGCTGATAGGATTTTACTAACATTACATTATTTTTAATATTTAAATTAAGATTTGATTCAGGTAATAATATAGTTTTATCACCCAATGCATGCTGAAGGTTGCCTTGTATTTAGCACCTTTAATTTTTAAATGTGTATGATAGTTTACAGGATGCAGATTACCGTTTATATATTTGCATGTAATTTACATTTTTGTTAATTTTTTTAAGCAATTGTAAGGTAAGGGAAATTTATTTTAATCAATTGCATGTTCAATACTCTATCACATACGTGGTAATAGACAATCTGCATGTCATGTTATATTGTCTATAGGCCGATGCAATGTACATTCAGAAAACCATATTTGTATAACTACAGTTTACTACCGTGTCGTTACATATCAAACAATAAAAGTTTTTATATAATATGTGAGATATTCTTAGAACATTTTCAATTGTTAATGATTTTACGATCATGCTTATTTCCTAATAGAAATGAGGGTTAAAAGTCGATATCATTCTGTATCATGCAAATTGAATTCTGGTTGAATTTAATCTAATTTAATTTGTTTTTTATTTTATATCATACTGTGTAGTGTTAGAAAGTTAGAGAAATGATTTTATTTGTTCTTTTTTAACACCATTTAAGTATTAAATCTCGTATGCAATGAAAAAATAGTACTAGAAATGAACAACAAAGGCTGACCATTTTAATCACAGACCATATAATGTTATATATTTATATATAACGACGTTAGAAATTCTCAGCCACAGTCTTCCCTTGCTCTATATGCCATTTGAAGCGATCGAGGCCATCCGTTGCTTGTGCTATTTGGAACAAGCAATTCTGTGAATTAAATGACTTGGCGTGCATATAATGTATGTAAATAAATAAAGTGTTTAGATTTCATTGCGATGCTTTTTATTAACACACGGTGAGGGGATCTTGATGCTTAGAAATAACATTGATATTAAAAAACAGGAAGGCTGATTTGTCTATATTCGATCATGAAAAGAAGGAATACATATATTTCATTGATGATTAAATACAATAGTCTTCTTCAAAACATGAATGCAGTATTGTACAAACTTTGTTTGCATATAAGTATACCACAGTTGTTATCCATGTATGAAAAATGTTTGTTTCTTTTAAATGTACGAATCAAAAACCTGATTGTCGTTAGTCCTTTTATAATTAATCAACCAATTATAATAATTAAGGATCCTTTCAATCTCGACATGAAAATGCTTCACTTCGTCCTAGGGATGTCGGAAAAAAATATCGATATTTTATATTATATATCGATATATTTAGCCGATACGCTTGGATCCGATATATCCTTATAAAATATTCAATATCAAAAACGATAGTTTTTGAGTCCATAGATGTGAAATATTTAATACTTGACATACATTTTGTTTGGGACAACGGTTTCTAAACAGAAAATATCGATATTTTTCTTCAGTTTCGACATCCCTACTTCGTTCGTCCCAGCAAAAATATCGGGATTACATATTTATATACCTATAACTTGCAGTTAATATTTAATAATACCAAGTGCTTGACCACTTCTGTGTTCATTCATTAAAATAAGACAAAAGTCTCTAATCAATCGTTCTTGTCATTACGTGAGGTTTAGAAACGTATCTAGCTTGAAGAAATTGCTGCGTACATTTCGCCACGTTGTCTAAGTTTCAGTAGAGGTGAATTAAGAAGACTTCGTTATCTGTATGATATTTTATAAGCATGTTTGCAATGCATCGCATTTGAATGGACAATAGCATGCGCTTTGTCGTACGAACGTATCTCATTATGTTGCCATGGTCTTTTGTTTTTTATAAAAATTATATTTTAGCGAAATTTTCATTAGTCCAAAAAGGCCTTTAATTAATTAGTATTACTTTTTTTTGTAGGTGTTTTGCGAATATTTTTAGATTTTTTTTTCTATATTGTAACAATTTACTATTATTTCTTCATTAGTAGCTGATAGATTTAAAAATAAAATAAGTTTTGAGCAATTTTGTCACGTGAAAAAAATGTGACTGTATTTCGATATCATCTATTGAGTAAAGTAATTTTGAATATTTGAAAATTATAAACACCATCAAGTAAATTTAAATATTTGCAAAGAACAGAAATGAAAGCATTACAACTATAGCTTATGTTGTAAATAAAAAGGCATTAATCATGAGCAACATGTGACGTGCGTCGGCGGTACTAACATGCAGGTTTTAAGGTACAGCCTAACACGGAGACTGGCTACTGACTGCTGAAGGTGGAGAAGCATGGTATGTTTTTTTTTTAAATACTTTCATCAAATGTAAATACAAAATATTTTCACATTCATCATCATTCCGTCCGATTCGGTTTAATGTTCCTGCGGTTAATATGACCGTGGCGAATGCCATCTTAAACAGATGATTACTTTAACATTTACTAAAATTTGTTATCTTTTGCCAGCGACTATTGGGCAAAGATCCTGTTTCAATAGAGCTAACCGTTGGTGCTGTTCACATGAGCAAAATGTATTTTGCAACTGAGCAACTCAACGGTATATGAGCCAATTTACTAAACTAACTTAAGTTTCTTCGCTATGGATCTTCAAAAAGTAACATCTGCTATGAAAATTCCAGTTGGTTTTACTTATCTGTCGAAGACAGACGCATTATTTTGCCAGTCCATAATTTCCAATTATGAGACACTGGCTATTTTTTAAGTATTTTCAAATAAATAGACGGGCTCATTGCTGAATTCTGTTTGATGAGCTGCGATCGAGACTATTGCACTAATAGGTCATATTAACACTATACTATGTTTGTTTTATTTCGACATAAACTCCAAATAATAAGTGCTTATGTTTAACGAGACTACAACACCATTGCAGGCTCTGGACGAGGAGTTCGCAGCACAGCTAGAAGAGCAGGAGCGACTCGCGGCAAATGCACGCCTACCCCCTCCGCCCCAATCGTCCTGCACCCTACCACAACACAGCTCCACACTACACTCGTCAAGAACAAGCCTAGCGTCTAGTCATTACGATTAGGTCCAGTTTCCCGCTCACCTGTCGGATAATCTGTGGCGGACCATAGACTAGGGCGCCAGATCCACCTGCTCGATTATAATCTACGGCAGACTATAGGCGCAGGACATGTGTAATGAGCAGAGTCTAGACTTTCGCCAAAACTGTAGTGAAACACAGCATCGTTTATTGATATCGTTATACACACTTGCGTCTTTTGCAGTTGGTTGGTGGAAAAGTTGTATTCAGTATTTTTTGTGCATTATCTCAAACTCTCAATGAGTGTTCTATTTTATTTTTGGTCATATTGTTAGCAAAAGACGCGTAGACTTTACTTAATATTTGTTAAAGAATGTAATGTTTTTATAGTTACTTGGCCATCGCTAGAAAAATTTCGTTCGGGCTCAAGGATATAATGTACGGTACCTTGGTTTGCTCCCTTTCTGGCACCTGCCACGTTGGTCATATTCTAAAACAATTGTCTCCGTAAATTGATATTGTTTAAATTTTTTTAGAATGTTTAAAAAATGGCGACCGTGACAAAAGCTGTGACAGTGACGTCTATTTTTATATTTTATGAATCAAGCGACGGCGAATGCTTATGGTGAATGACTTATAAATTTAATAAATTATATTCGAAATTAAATGGAACTAGATAGGATGTATAAAAAATGCGATGTGGTTTTATTAGGGTAAGCTAAAGTACCATTGTCTCGCTTTAATTAAAGGAAGTGTTCAGTGTCTATGGTTTTAGTGGCACAGAAAAATGTGATTAGCGCACGTTTAAAACAATCGATTTTAGGTCGAGTAGAAACTAAAATTGGATGTAGTTTTTCCTCGGAGTGCCAAATAAGGGTTTAGAAATTATTTAATTGCATGGGATGGGATAATTAATTTGATCAGGCAAGTATTTTAATTGAAATTATATATATCATGCATTGTTCGTTCCTGATAAAATGGCACGACGCAGTCGAAAATGATTGTGTAAATTTATACGTCATTGTGTCAAAATTTTGAACGATTTTGAGGTTATTATAGAAAATCGATATTCGTGGAATTGATTGATGTAGGTACTATAACTATGTGCTTCTGGTTTGAGAGCAATCGAACGGTGGTATTGTGAAGCTTTGCACAGGTTGTGACCTGAAGTGAAGTAAGAATGCCTTAAAGTTTGTTTCTTATATATAAAAACAATGTAAATGTGTGATTTTGTCCGCCCTTTTGGGGGGATCGTTTTAAATAACTTCGCGTTTGCTCTTCTATAAGCTTAGAGATGCGTTAAAGCGAGAAACATGGCCTGTGTAAATGATGGCGAAGCTTGTTGGTATATCAAAAAAAATCGGATACTTTTTTTCCACGCGTCAACTAAAGGATAATGAAATGATCTAATGATCCGTAATGTCATGGTAATTTTTATTTTCTCGGCCTAAAGTGTTCCTAGATATATCGAAACATAGCTTATGCGTTTTGCCTAAAGAAATAACTTGTCTTTTATATTTACGTAAATTTGAAAAGACGCGAGTAATTTTATACGTCCCTTGAGATAGCTATTATAATTAGTAAGAAAACTGATAGTTATCTATCATCGGGAGGAATAATTAAAAGGATTTAGCAATTAGTCTTCAATTGCGTATCCTTAAAACGATCTGAAAAATCGAATTTCCCAATTTCGAGCAATTAACAATAAATATTATTGACGCTTATTTACAGAGCACTTACTTTTATAAATCCACGAGACACAAAGTCAAAAGTATCGACTTAATTATTCCAATAAATTGTACTTTATCGAAATAGCGTATAGATCAGATTTAATGTTGTATATTTTGTACAGTAATTACTACAAACACGAAATGATGATATGTGAAATTTAGTCAGCTAATTAGGAACAAGGCGACTGACATGTAGATATAGGAAGAAATATGATATTTTTTCATGTACAGTATTTGTGTATTTTACTTTAAGTACACGTGCCTACTTAATTTATGAATACTTTTGATTCGTATCCTATTTTTCATATCTATAAAAATCCGTCGCAATCTATATTTTCTGTAGCTTCCGCCATACGTTTTTGTACTGTACGGTAAACCAAAGAACAACAAAATACTTCAGACATTCTCAATATATTACTTACGAATCACTAGTCTCGTTGAACGATTTTATTTTTACGGTTAAAATGCGTCAAGAGAGGAAAACATTGATTAATAATCATAATTTTATCCGGCGTTAAAGTTTGTCAGACACGTAGTTCAATTTGCGTTTCGCGTTTTCTTTTTTCGCGATGCCATTTTTTATTTCTGTCAAACTTTAACATAAAGTTCATTTCTAAATACGGTTAAATCATAATATGTACAAAAAATCTTTTCTTCTTTATATTCTTAAGGTTTTAAACTTTAGCCGTATTAGGCAATGAATGATTTACTTACATTTAGTTTTTTGTAAATTTTAACATAACTGTAGTGCATTGAGGAAGGAATATTTGTTATATTATTCGAGATTATCAATGTCATTCATCAATATCAAATAACTCGAGTTAGCCATAGCCTTTTTAATGTTAATTTTATTATTTTAATATTATTTTTTGTCAGTAAGTGAAGAGTAAATTATTGTTACTACTTTCGAAATATAAAGAACTTACTTTGTATGCTCTCGTTTTATTGAATTGCAGAAAAACAGCCCCTTTTAATTACATTACTTATTAAATATATTAATTTATATAAAAAAGATCATTACTTAGATCAGCAATAAAAGAGGTCGATTATAAACGACTCATTGTCATTTTAGATACGAGTAACATTACTAACGAAAAAGGTGTGGATAAAAATTTTATGCAGTCTTAGAATTATGTAATATTTGTTATCCTAAAACTTGGGTTATAATTCTTTTGAAGTAAAATTTTCACAAGCGAACTGAAGGTGCATCAGATCACGGGACGTCTAATACACCTGAGGGGTGCAGATGCGTTGCTAACCTTTAATAAAGTCCGGCCTGTTGGCTTCAAAAGGTGTTTTTAAATGAGACTAATAAGTATATACTTTAAGAGATAACTATATACTAGATTGGCCCTCGAAATGGCCAACTTAAACAAAATTTTATATTATAAATGCACTAGTACGTCAGAATCATGGACGAAAATTTGATAACAAAAAATTTAAAGTTTATAACGACTAAATCCCAAACAGCTGCCAAAAAATGGGAATCCGTTAACTTTAGAATGTGTCAAATTTAATCTAAGAACAATCAAATGTCAAACTGAAAAGTCAATGCTACATTAATTCATTGGACGTAAACAATATAATGTAAAAATTCCTGTTCCAACGATAAAAAATAAATTTGAAAAAATAACGGACAAATGTTACAAAGTAGAATTAGCTTTTAAAACAACAGTCGTATCAGTTAAATGGTTGAAGCTCAAAAGAGCGCGATGCCGTCGTCTCAAGAAAGTAAAGTAATAAAAAACGCGGAGTCTGTCAAAGACCGCTACAAGAACTGCGCTTTGTTGTATCTAATACAGCATATTGACATACACGGTACGTTATCGTCGAGTTACAACGAGAACAGGCGTAGATGCGCCGACAACAGCTCTGCTCTGGCGGTGACTTCCGTCACGTCCAGCTCCCCAAAGTTCTTGGACGACGCTGGGACAAAGGAAAGCGCCAAGTCCGCCAAATGGGACAAGTTCACCGTTTCGACGAAGGTCTCTAGCCTGTACCCGGGTCACGATATTTTGTCGAAGAAGAGAAAACAGGCCGCGGCGACACGTGCGGCGGTTTAGTGTGTGAAGACGTCCCTATATTAGATTGTAAATAAAGTTTGTTTCTCGTGCTTTTGCCGTCATTGTTTTATTGAGTAAAGTAACAGCCTATACCCACTGCTGGGCAAAAGCCTTCTATACTCTCAGTCTATACATACATATTGGCGGACTTCATAAATAGTTTATTCAGTCACTCATCGGTACATACCTGAGAAGTATTTGCCCGGATTTTGTCGAAACCGTCCCAGCACTAACCCTTCTTGTATTAACTGATGTTTGTGCTTTCAGTCCCGAGACTGTTAAAGCTTCATCTGACGCAGAACCGGTGGGCTAGCCAGAACCCACGGGTTTGGGCCCTCCGCTGTGGGTAGGGCCACGCATGTGCTCATGCGTGCGTTTAAGTGTGGTGTGTCATCTAAGGGCCATCGAGGTCGCGGTTCGAACCGAAACCCTGATGGCCGTAGACTGTGCAATTAGCTAATCGGTGGCTGGGAGCGGTGAGAATCGCGCACCGAGAACCAAGGTACACCCCCGGAACGCGGGTGTACCTTGTGTACGCGTTGTGTTGGTCTCGCCGTGCTCGGAAGCGAGGGCGAACTAGTATGTTTGTTGTTGCACTAACTGTGGGTGTAGTGTTATCCGGCGGGACAGCACTAACCCGATAGCAATGAGAATAGCAAAGAGAATGTAATCACTACGTTTTGATGAATAGTGCTATTGTGCAACATGTCAATGAAATGCATAAGAAACAGAGTATAGTAAACACAGTCACAGTACGCAGCCTTGTGGGACACCTGCATTCACCGGTTTGGCGTCAGAGCATTAACGGTCAACCTTGATGCTCCGAACCGTGTGGAAACTGATGATACAATCGCATAATTTTTTATGCAGTGATAACAATAAAGATAGATCGTAACATTCCAGAGAAGCTTCCTTTTCTTTTTGAAGTTGTACTTCTTCTTGAGCGTTTGGATAAAAAATTATGAGGGTAATATTTTTACGTTGCGCGCGCATACCGGCAGCCAAAAAGCAAAAAGCGACATAATGCTAACTGTATAATGTTGTTGCAAGGTGTTGCAAGGCGACCAAATTCATCATGTCGCTTTTTGTGTAACATTGCAAAAATATCGAAACCACAACACCTGACGCCGAAGCCAATATCTTGACAACTGCGCCACGGAGTCATCTACCTATAATTCCAAGTTATTAAATTAAACTATTATTAATTGCATTTAACTTCTTTTTCACAAACAAAGTAAAGGGGATAAAATTTTTAGTTATTTTTCTGCTGTTATGCTAAACTAAAGTATAACTTTTCACGTGTTATAAGTGGGCTAGTAATTTTTTTCACTTACTATACATCCTAATGATAATTTCAAATAAGAGAGAAAAAGAAATAATGATTTTCGACCTTACAAACATTAGCCTCGGTTACCTCACTCACCAGACGAAAAGCTAAAGTATTATCTCCACTTTACATCTGTTAGGCACTTCCTGAGCTTTCCTATTAGTGCCACAACAAAGTCACAATCAATGATGTTTAATAATATGGATGACGTTTGCCCATACTGCGTGGCGTTTGAAAATTGTTCCGCTTTACATTATATGACATGTATAAGTGAATGTGACGAATGATGGTAGAAAATTTAATACAGAAAGATAGCAGTCTATAGAATTGCAATGTAATTACACCAATTCGTCTAATTTGAGTGCAGAGCCGTGATAGCCCAGTGTCCGGGCGCTCGTCTTAATTCAATATACTCGAGCAACCTGAGTTCGATCCCCGGTGCCGGCACCAATGAAGTTTTTAACTTTAAGTGCTGACTTATCACGTGCTCCGCGGTGAAGGAAAACATCGTGAGGAAACCTGCATATTTTCGAAATAATAACAAAAAAATATAAAATTTCGAAGATATGTGAAGTCCGCCAATCCGCAGTGGGGCCGCGTGGTGGACTATGCCCTGATACCCCCTGTAAAGAGGAGGCCTTTGCCCAGCAGTGGGACATGTATAGGCTGTTACTTTACTTTTACTTTTTTTGAGTGCCTCAGTTTCGGTGCGCTAGTGTTCTGTGTGGTGTTAGAGGTAAAATGAAACTATTGAAGGCCCGAATAATACTGAGTTATATTTTATGACAACAAACAATTTGAATGATTACAATTAATAGAGTAGCCTAATGTAGAGAATAATATACGAGTAGTATATAATAATTGTTTAAACATACATCACAGTCCGTACCTCATATTTGTATACTGTGTCGTTACCATCGCGACAATAAATGAACACACATCTAACGCTACTTGCCAATAATCATAAAAAAATATTAACGTTAAACAAAATCCATAATTAAAAAAAATATTTTTCAAACAAATTAAGTAAAAAACAAACAAAATTTGTAACATCCTATATAACTCGCGCCACAGCGTCGCATTACAAGCCTTTCCTTCTAACAGTATGTTTTGTCTCTTCTAAATTCATTCAACCCATTCATATGCTTTGTGACCTTTACAAATGAACTTTACGTTACAGTTTTATACGTAAGGGTGACTAAAATTGTTTGTTTTAGAAAATTTAATAACTTGGTAAATATTGATGTATAAAGAATGTAAATGTTTAATACAATTTTAAAAAGTTATCCTCTATATGTGAGTTCATTTGTTGTCGCGGTGGTAACGACACGCTGTATAATAGTAAGAAAGCGAACGCGAATGTGTAATCTCCACTTCGCGTCTTCGTTAGAACGCGGTACACCCCGAGCATTCCCATTCGAGTGTGCATTTACCCAACCATAGACAAGGAGAAAAAAAAAGTCGCGTTGAAGGAGAAAACGTTTATTGATAGTCTGTCATATAATCCAATTTAATAGTTATTGCTGCAATCCTCGCGAGTTCACGCCGCAGACGCCCCGTTAAGCAGCCACGCCGTCCTGTGCCCCTTCTTCGTCTGAAAAACCAACGAGAAACGTCATAATTGAAAGCATTTGACAGACTGTACTAAGAAAATGGAGATTTCTTTTTCCGCACTGCGGGTAAAGTGAATCGTTCATGCTATTCTAAAGGATGTGCTGGAAGAACCCTCGGCTGATGGGAGGATTTGAGAAAAAACGATACAATCACTGGATTAATTGATCAGTTGTCTTAATCTTAAAAAACAAAAAATAAATTAACTATAAAAGGTTAAATTGATCTGAATCAAAATAGAACGGCACTAACTTCAAAAAATAAGCTGTTGTTACTTACATAGACACTAATTTGGGTTGCTTAAGGCAAATTAGCCCACATATATGACAGGAAGGAGTGGAAGAAATTGAAGGAGGCCTTTGCCCAACAGTGGGATACTAATGGCTGATAAAGTAAAGTAAAAAAGGCAAATTATAAGCGTAAATTAAGTTAGTGTTTGCCATGCTGCTACATGCTGTATGATTCATTGTGAAATAAATTGTAATAGCTGTGCAAGCAGTTTAATTGTGTTCATGGTAATGTAAAATTGTATTTTGGATTCATTAGCTACAATAAAATACAAGCAATACGAAAACAAAATATGTTTATTTGAAAAACAAAAGAAGAAAACTCATGTGGCTCTATTAGTTAAGAAAATATTAATTCTATCTACTACTATCATCATGAAAGTTATGAAATTTTAATATGACATGAGCAGAAATCTTCAATGCATCAGACACTGTAAAACACAAAATGCAATTACCTTAACTTATAATCATGATAGTTATCATAAAAATGATGCATTATTTGCTATGTAGACCGACATAGCAAATAATGCATCACATTACTTGAAAAAGCACAAGTACATTTGTATACTAAAATATTTGTAAACTTAATGTTTCTATGAGCCCTTAAAATATAACATTTCTTTAACCTGACATGTGAACTGGGTAAGCAGAGGTGAGTAACACTATTCACAACACTTAATACAACCATAGCAACCATTGTAAATGCCATTTATAATAATCTTACAGTATTTTAACTATATTGGTTTCAATGAAAACACATAACTATATATTTTTATATGCCAACGATATTACCCTGTATACAGACAAAAAATAACCTTTGGTACTTATGACATATTTTCCCTGTAGCGGGACTAAAAATAATTGAGATTGTATTTAGAGGGTTGAAATGACATCAGCCTGTGTTAGTCTGAACATTCAATCTAAAATGGAGGATAGGTTATATAAAGTGTATGCTAAAGACCCTTGTCGTCTGTGTCCATGGGCTCTGGGGTGTCGTGGTAGGCTGGCGCCAGTGGTGATACCACCACACCGTCCCACACCGTGATCTCAGTGGAGATGTCTTTGCCTCCCTCGAAGGGCTGCAAGCCCAGCACGTAGCGGTGGCCGCCACGCGCCACCACGCGCAGCAGCCTGTAGTTAGAATATTAAAACCCTATGAGGATGGATTATCACAACTAATGCCTGGTTCCTATATTCAACATTGGCACTTACTACCAAACTCCTCCATAAAAAAATGCAAATAGGTGCTACTGTACTCTTTGGGTTCTCACTGGTAGTTTAATAATTTTGTACCATCTTAAGCCGTGTGTGAATCAAACCCACAATCCCCAACGAAGCCGAAGATCAATGTCAAAGCTTACACATACTTGTGATCTAAAGCATGCCGTGATTGGACGTAGACACAATCTAGTTTTATAGTGAATAATAATAATTTAAACCGTTTTATTGAACAAGCACTTCGCCCGCGACGTCGTCCGCGAAAATTGTAATAGAGGGGTCAAGTTGTAATAGAAAAGCTTACGTCTGTGCCGTGGCCGCGGCATGGTCCTGCGCCGCTAGGTCCAGCGCTGTGTGAGCCCTGGAGTGTGCGGCCTCGCAAGGGTCCGGGAGGCCAGCGCAGCCTGGCAGGAACAACCCGCCAGCGAGCAGAGACAGGGCGCGTCTGTAACCAGTGTTCAATGGTTTATCGATATAACACGACTATGGCACGCTTGAAGTCCTTGCGTGGAATGTGAAAAAATTTCGAAATTAGCATGGATAAGAGTAGCTAAAGGTGTGATTTGTTATTTTAAGTATTCGCCCGCGCCTCCGAGCACGGCGAGACCATAATGCGGTACACAAAGTACACCCGCGTTCCAGGGCGGTTCCCACCGCTCCCAGCCACCGATTAGCTAAAAACGCAGTCGACGGCCATCAGGGTCCCGGTACGCACCGCAACCTCGATGGCCCTTAGATGACATGTCGTAGTTAAACGCACGCATGAGCACATGCGTGGCCCTACCCACAGCGGAGGGTCCAAACCCGTGGGTTCTGGCTAGCCCACCGGTTCTGCGTCAGATGAACCTTTAATAGTTTCGGGACTGAAAGCAAAAACAAGGGGACCCATAGTATAAGCTTTGGAACTAGATTATGTATAATAAAATGGCCAGAAATATTTATTTTTATTAAAATTTATATAAAGAAGGAGCGAAAAGTTTCTCGCAGCTGCGGGTATCGAACCTACATCTTCGGGATTCGCGCCCTCACGTACTAGCCACTAAACTAAACGGCCGATTGCCACAGCGACGAAACTCAATGTCCCTATCTACATTGTTTTTAGCATTTGAAGTTGTTTTTGGCGCATCCACTATTATCTTTTCCAGCAACACAATTTCAAATGTCGTTATACGACGATAATTTGAACGAGCCATTGTTTGTCGCAATTGCTTCTTAGAAATTTAAATACTATGTCCTGAAACCGTTTGTAGGCCTTTGCCCAGCAGTGGGACATTTATAGGCCGTTACTTATTTTACAAAACAGATGAGTTCATTGCCAGATGAGGGAAATTAGGCACCTGAACGCCACGTTTATCGGTAGCGCCTGCCTCGCGGGGTTGTTCATGATGCAGTGGTGGGCGAGGAGGTCTATCATCCAAGGGGTCAGCGGCTCCAATCCCGAGTGGCGGGCGCACATGTCGCGCAGCAGCCGTATCAGCACCTGGAGCAGGTTGTTTTGTATAGTCTGTGCAATGTGTGTTAAAACATATGGAGTGATGACTCTGTGCCGCAATTGGAACATAATTATGGTTAAGAGTGATGACTCCGTGGCGCAGTTGCCAAGATATTGGGTTCGGCAGCAGGGGTCATGGGTTTGATTCCCACACAAGACCCCCAGATAATTGTTTTAGATCTGGTTGTTTGTCTGTAAAATACAGGGAGACTTTTTTAAAGGTGCCAGGTTCGGACTCGGTAGTATAATCGTTTATTGAAATAAAACAAATTTTTTGTCAAAAAACTTAACCATTCTATTCCCTAAAAAACAGAACTTGTTGACAACACGGTAGTCATTCATAAATACCTAAATTTTACTGTTCACGCACACAAACGAACCGGTGTTCGTGTTAGTTATGAATGATCGCGCCTAAAATAAATGAGTTGCGTATAAATCACACACTTTTTGAGATAAGTTCAAATGAATTAATTACGAGTCATTTAAAATATTTGTCATTTTTTATATAACATTATTCATTTCTAGAATTTAATTTAAAAAAATCCTGCCTCCCGTATATCTATATAAAATGTCTTTACAACCCAGGATGTTGTTATTCTAGGTCGCAGTGGTGGTTGGGACTTACTACCCAACCCTATCCACACTAAATACGAATACAAAATGTTCAGCAGGCTTCGCAGTCAAAAAAAATCAGACAGTTGACTGATGTGGATACGGCTCGCCTGGTATATTTTAGCTATTTCCACAGTATAATGTCTTATGGCATTTTACTTTGGGTAAATGCAGCCAACATATACACTATCTTCATCCTGCAAAAGAGAGCTATTCGAGCAGTTTATAACCTAGGTCCCAAAGATTCACTGAACTTGTTTAAAGAAATAAAAATATTTACTGTAGCTTAACAGTACCTACTTGCTAATGTTATGTATGTCCACAAAAATAAGAATGACTTTTCAAGATTTAGTAATATGCATGATGAAATACTAGGAACAAGCATAAATTAATTCTACCCTCAACTAGACTGCGTAGAATAAGTAAATCTTTTATGGGACAATGTATACACTTACAATAAAATCCCAGAAAACATTCAAAATGAATTCGTTGCTAAATTCAAAAAACTTGTAAAGGAATATTTGTGTGTTAATGGCTATTATAGTATTAGTTATTATTTGAATGATAACACACTCTGGAAATTAATTGATCGCTCTAGGCTCTTTCAAGTGGAATTTAATAAATTGTACACATATTTGTAATTTTTTTGTCAAGTTAAAAAAACAAATGTCCTGCTGAGTTTCTTACGCCGGTTCTTCTCAGGTCAGTGGCTCTCCTTCCGAACCGGTGGTAGAGTTTTTTGACTATCAATAAGTAAGTGTATGCTTCTATATTGAATAAAGATATTTGAATTTGACTTTGTTTAGGATGAAAGTAGTGGTCAGGGTTAAAAGTAGGAGTTTGTTTGTCTCTCTGCTTCTCATTGATACCTTAATGGAGGAGTGGTGCGCGTTCTCCTCGAACCATCTGCTGTGGCGGATCGCCGCCAGGTGGCTGCTGATGACCTTGTAGTCTAAGTGCACCTGTAATGAAAGAGTTGAGCATGAGGTCAGGAACAGGTGAGAGGTGACTATAAAATGAATATATATATGTATATATTTTTTTATGTAAAACGGTAGCAAACGAGGTGGCGGTTCACCTGATGTTAAGTGATAACCGCCGCCCATTGACATTTGCAACACCCATAGGGTTGCAGACGCGTTGCTACCTTTTAATTAAGTGGGCCCCGGCTACCTCACTCACCAGACGAAATACTTAGGTATAAAACTCCCTCTTCACGCCGGTCTTCTGTGAGGTTGTGGTATTTTCCCGGATGGACCTGCCCATTCAAAACAGCGAGGACTATTGTCTGGTCCTACCACAGTCACTATTGCCTGCTGTAAAGGGGAAGTATCACAGCCTCACAGGAGACAAGCGTGAAGTCGAAGTGTTATACTTCTGCATTTCGTATGATGAGAGATGTAATAAATATGGCACCATAGTGTACTTTTGTATATTAAATAACATTTCCAGTATGATATGTTGTACAGAATTATTAAAATGGAAACCAGCCGATTATGAGCCCCACATCTAAATCATGAAACTAGTATTCGAGAGGCTATTTAAAATTGGAAAAGAGGGCTTCAATTAATAAGAATTTTGATATGAAAAAATGTCTACCAGTGTAGGTACAGAAAGGAGGTCTGTTAATAGGTAAAACAAAACCTTTTTATGCAACCTTATATGATCAATTTCACCCTGTTCCAGTGCACAGAACCTGAACTGAGGGCAGTGTTCTGATCATAGTCACTTTTCCGACTTGGTAACACTCATGCGCTCACCTCGGGCTCCAGCTTCCTAAGGTTTTGGTGAAGAGTGGTGACAAGCACCCGGACGGCTGCGCCGGCCGCGCTGACGGTGAAGCCCCTCTCGTTGCTGGTGCAGGTGACGGCGCCGGTGCCTTCCGTGCGTGTTAGTTTGTTCACCTCCTCATTCACCTGCAGGGGTGGTCATTTCTTTTTAGTTAAGGTACAGAGCAGTGCTCGCATGTGCATGCTCGCCTTTAGTTCAATACTCGTTCATTACTCGAGCAAGCTGAGTTCATTTGTACACCTCCTCATTCACCTGCAGGGGTGATTGCTTCTTTTTAGTTAAGGTACAGAGCAGTTCTGTGATAGCATGCTCGCCTTTAATTCAATATACTCGAGCAAGCTGAGTTTAATTCATGGTGCCGGCACCAATGAAATTGTTAATATTAAGTGCTGACTTATCACATGCTCAGCGGTGAAGGAAAATACTGTGACGAAACCTGTATAGTTTCGAAATAATAACAAAGGAGAATATTTCGAACATATGTGAAGTATGTCAACTCGCAGTGGGGTCGTATGATGGACTATGCCCTAATACCTTCTGTAAAGAGGAGCCTCTGCCCAGCAGTGGGCCATATATAGGCTGTTACTTAACAGAGCAAACCGTTCTTCCACATTGTTTTCTTAGCATTTGAAGCAAAGCTTGGCGCCATCTATTGTTATATCCTTTCCAGCATACAAACAATTTCGAATATCGTTTTACAACGATAATTCGAACGAGAGATGTCGCCATTACTTTTTTAGAAATTTAAATTGTTTATAGTGCTAATCTTTGCACTTAAGATTGAACATTAAAATATGTAGTGGCTAGAGCGTCAGGCCGCGAATGGCGAAGACGTGGGTTCGATTCCCACAACGGCGACAATCTTTTCGCACTTTTTCTACATATTTTAAGAGCAAACCGTTTATATTTAAGAGGGGTGGACTACATACAGTGTGAGCACTGATAGTAATATTGTTTCAATTGCTTTCTGTCCTTTTCCTTCTACAAGAGGATGGTTATTGTAAGTAATGTTGTCATGGTGTTTTGCAAATTTAAAATCTGTAATTATAACTACATTATAAACTAGCATTATAGAGAGAGAATTTTATTTTGTCACTCCAATGGGCATATTATTAGCAGAGAATAAAAATATACAAACTTGTAACAAAGGCAAATAATTTCCGTTAAATTAAATTTGTTATCCTTTCGGATTCTTAAATAACCGCAACAGGTTTATTTGTATATTTATTAAGGCACAGAGAGCATATCCCATACCTTGTTGGCCAATCCTTCGACTGCCTCCTTTGTGGGTAATGTCTTCATAATGACAACTATGTCAGCTACATTCTTGCCTGCCATCATGGTGCCCTTTTTGTAAGATCCAACCTGTCGTACCTCTTCCAATTGCTGTATATAAAAATGTTGTTTATGAACACCACATAAGAATAAAGCGCATTAAAGTTTTAATTACTAACTTGGAATATTGATTGTGTTAAGATTTTTTTATGCAAATCAATAAGTGTATTGTTTTATTGCTTCATTACTTTATTACCATTTAATGTAAAAAAAAAATATTTGTGCATGTTTGTTAGAGCTTCTATCAAGAAATAGCAAATTCAAAAATTTGCATGATGGTATGGAATATGTAATAAGTCTTAATTAATATTTATTAAGATACAATTTAAGCCTCACTTCCCACCAAGCCATCATTTTTCAAATATAATAAAGCAAGCAAGTACGCACAACAACTGTGTACCTTGCTGTATTAGGGATCTGAGATATTTTTCATTGCAAATGTGGATTAGATAAAAAAAAACACAGATCATATATTTATTAACTGTCCAAAATTATTGTCCTCACACCTGTGTGTATTCTTGAAAAGCTGAAAAGAACAAGAAAAAAACACTTAGTCTTTACTTGTACGGAAACTTACACAAGCAACAAAATCACCGGGGGCCACAACCAAGTTATCCAGGACAGTTTGCAGCTTCGTGACCAGGGACAAGACTGCAGCCTGCTCTGATGGTGTTGGGCATAACTCTGCATGTCGTTTGAGGAGCGCCTGAAAAAAAGTTGTAAGTATTCTTAAAAATTGCAGTACAATAAAAACAGACTTGAAAATAAAAATATTAGAAGATTACAGCAGATTAGTCATTAATCCATAAATAATGACAGTTATTACACAAAATGTACATAGGAACAATTGCTATATTAACTCGCTTAACTATTTGTTTTATATGAGAGGTTCTAATAGCACTGTCCTTTGTGTCTTTTTTTTATCAGAGGGGAAATGTTCAAAAGATATGAAGACGGGAAGCCAGTAATAATCCTAGAAGGGGTTTTAGTCATCACAAGTGTCACTTATTTGCTAACTAAAACCCCTTCTGTGGCCACATATAACCGTGACAGTTAGGGTACACTCCTCGTTGCCTTCCCTCCTGAGTTCATTTCATCAGGTAATCAGGGCAGTAACCTGATCACCCGTGACCCTACATTCTCTTCTTAGTTGCCATGTGTGATAGGTAGAGAATACTTTAGCACTATTGCGTGCTTGTCTCTACAGAACAATTCATAATACCCTGCCGAAAGAAGTGTACCTACATTTAGAAAACAATTGTAAATATTGTTATTTGCAATTAAATACAATTTGTAGGATATTTTCAAATATAATGTTGTTTATTTATTAGATATTGTTTAACAAGCTGTTCCAAGGACATTTAGAGAAATTGTAAAGTCTTAATGGTAACATAATGAATTAAAAAGTTGGAGTAAAGAGCAAAGTGCAGCATCGGTCTCTATGACATACAGTTACCAGATGTACATGCATTTTGCAGAGGAATAATACAGTTAAACGTGACAAACTTGCACTTATCGTATTATTTGTGTGAATCTATTTCAGGGTTTAGTTTTGATAGTCAGAAATAACTATACCTGAGTTAAAGCCGAGTCGTCCGGCGCTGGTTTGCATCTGGGAAAGGCGGGCTCGGCCAATATAAGGTCGAATGGTGGCCTCAGCATGAGAACCCGTGGTCTGTTGAAGGGTGGTCGGCCCATTCCGCCTCTACCCGGCATTCCGCGACCGCCTCTACCGACGCCGCGGACCATCGTTCTTTCACCACAATAAGCCACCTTTAAGAGTGCTATACACACACAAACAAAAGAGATATCTCGATGAGATATCTCTTTTGATACACACAAAAAGTAACTTTTAGATTAGCGGTAAACACAAATGTTTTGTTGGATCAAAGTAGCTACGTATTTCTTATTGTTTTTATTATTAGTATACCTAAGACAGCACTTATTATACTTGTTAAGTTTCGTGCTTTTGTAATTCACTACAACTAAAATACGGCGTTTGTATTTCAACAGTAATTTCCAATAATATTAACAAAATGGCAGAGAGCAGAGACGCGGGTCAAAAAACTAAAGGTTAGTTTTAGGGATGTGAAAAAAAAATTCGATCGATTTTCATATTAATCGATTCTTTTTTTCTTATAATCGTTTATTTATACTTATAATTTACTAGCGGCCCGCCCCAGCTTCGCAAGGGAATAACATGATGTTTTGTAATTAAATCTGAAAATAGTCTTAGGAACTAAGATTTACATGATATCGCTGAGGCCTTTTCAGGATTCCGTACCCAAAGGGTAAAACGGGACCCTATTACTACGACTCCGCTGTCTGTCTGTCCGTCTGTCATCAAGCTGTATCTCATGGACCGTGATAGTTAGACAATTGAAATTTGATCTGGATGTTTATTACCCAAGGAGGGTTGACGTCAGGCACGCGGCTGGTTGTAAAAATGTAGCCAAAACCGCTAAAAACAAGATTCATGTTGTGCCAACCCCACCTTTTTTTGTTAACGTGGGGGAAATGCCTACGCATACCCACCGTCGCGGGGGCAAGAGCGGGTTATGTCAGACTCGCACCGACTAAAACCCCCACGATGTTCCACCTAGGCGCATATAGGCAGGGCCACGAGAACGCTTTCGCTCACTTCCGGGACCCTGCCAGCGCTGGCCGCCTCAGCAGCCCCCTCCCGGATAGCAACTTTCCTCTCCTGAAGGTAAGGCGCGCTGGAAGAACATTCAGCGCCCTTTCCTACTCGGCCACATTTTTACGACCAATGAACTCCGCCGAGTTCACTGACCAGAGCCATGGGAGCCAGGAAAGCCAGTGCTAATAAGCAGCAAGCCTCCCAGCCCCCAGCGGCGGACCTTGTCTGTGGCTCCAGCGCTCACCACGTTTCGGCCGCGGAGGGAATTTTGTTCCATAATTTCTATCGCGCCAAACGAAGTCATTTTAAAGAGGCTATTGTACTTTCGGATGTTGGTTAAAAATGTCCAGATGGTGAATGATTATTTGTCAAAAGATTTTTTATTGGCTGTGGCGGCTCCTCAATATTTGGGAGACTAAGTTTCCCAGAAGCACAGCACATACCATTTGGTCATCGGCTCATTTTTTGGCAGAATACTTAGAGCAAATCTTTTTCATGGCTCCGATTTGGACGGAATACTGTTGACTATAATGCATGAAAGCTGATCAGTTACTGTGAGCTAAAACTCGATTACGAACTGTAGTCGTTGACGTTTGTTGTCTTTTTCTCTGATCTTGTAGGCGTTGGGAACGCTTAGAGCTCGATTCCCTGGTGTGAGTTTATATATTTCTAATATTTTGCTCTTCAAGCCGCTGCAAACACTCTACTCGAACCCCAACAACAGCCCTCGCCTGGGAACTATTTCTAGAAATATGAGGTCTTGATCTTTTGGGCATTTTAAAAAGATAAAAAAAATTTAACTGCCTTTGTACTTAATTACTTGCTAACTGTTGAACAGGAAATAGCAGTAAAATGTGATTAAAAAATTGTAAGAACTACTAAGTCAGTCACTAAGCTGTTTGGATAGTTAAATTACAAAATACTAACATTTTTAAACTTGTGATATCTTTCGAATGGAATGTCCGAATTTAATAATTCAAAAAGTTATATAAAGATATTGAAACAGTCTTAAATATGAAGTAAGAATTATTTTTATAAGGATGAACACTAAGATACAAATAAAGAGCCTCTTCTAGCGGCAGCATTTCAATCAAACTTTTAAAATAAAAAAACACATATTGTGGCATAACTATAATAGTTAGACATATGCTATCGCGACACTTTTTGTTTATAATGATGTGTTCTGCAAAGTCATAGTACATTATTTTATTCTATCATCAATAGTTTTCGCAGCGCACGCGATGTGAAGTATATTTTAGGTAATTTTTGTACACTTTTGGTTACATTATTGAAGTTTTAGTAAGGATCCCTATTTTTTAAAAAAATATCATATAGCCTTTATCAACCGGGGATAATGTAGCTTCCTAACAGTGGAAGAATTTACATTTCGGTTCAGTAGTTTCGGAGCCAATTCATTACATACAAACAATCAAATCTTTCCTCTTAATAATATAGAAGATTGAAAATCGATATATCAATTTAATTTTTTAAACAGCCATCTGTATGTATACATCATGCAAACTAGTTTCGTAATTTTTTAACAGATTTGATTAAAAAAATATATTAAATGGCATTGAATATTTCATCATCATCATCATCAAGCCGCAAGACGTCCACTGTTGAATATAGGCCTTAACGTTAGAACGCCACAACGAACGACACTTGCCATTTGCATCCACCGGTTGCAAATGGCAAAGTATCGTATTTAGTGTCAAAAATCCATTGAATATTTATGGAAAATTTATTTTAGGTTTTTTTATTCTAATCAAAATTTGTATAAATAGGTTCGTAAGGTACCACGGGTTCGAGAAACAGTTTCTGAGACCGGAAAAAATCAACAGTTGCTCTTTTTCATAAATATCAATTTAGAATTTATTGTTTAAAGTTTCAAATTTAAAACACAGTGATTTCGTGTTTTTGTTATGAAATCAGAAGGTTGTCCTTTAGATTATTTTTATACTACTAATTTTATTTGTTTTTGATTCTGATAAATTGTGAACACTATACCAATGTCTTAGTTTCATTGATATTAGATTTTTTAAAAAGTCGATTATTATTTCCTCTGGTTATTTTTTTCCCACATCGATTAATGTAGAAAAGAAAAAATTATAATTCATCGTTTTTTTTTCTCAATGTTCCTCCTTTAGTTAATGGTCCTCTAGTTAGTTTTGAATGATATGGATGCTGTAAAAAATATTAATATATTGATATTTTTTTTATAGAGTGTAATATCGTACGTATCGATATTTTTAGTAGATATATTAATTGACCGTTATTCGAAGCTTATTTAATTGAGATAGGCACTATATTTCCCACCTGAAACATCTCGTAACTTCCGGTATTTTAGTTCCTTCTTGGTTATGACGTCACATCCGCTTGGCTGAATTAGAGTTTACGACTGCAGCACTATGTTGCTTAAACTTCATTGGCGTCTTGTTTCCCACCAAGTTCGGACGCTCACAAGACGAGTTACATACTTCGATTTAATATTATAAAATAATATTATATTAGACTAATTAAGTGAATATTATTTTCAAAAACCATGGATAATTTAAATTAAATCACGGAAACGAGTGATAGTGCGATACCTGGGCCTTCAACAAATAGAAGGCTGAACGGATCAAGTAGAAGTTCAAGCTCTAGTAGCAGCTCTTCGAGCGATAGTTCTTCAACCAACTCAAGTCCTTCAAAACGAGGTCATAGAAAGAAAAAGGGGGGCAGAAGAAGTCATCGCTCCAGCCGTAGGATACGCAAATTAGCCAAGGAGTTGCGTAACCTACAGAAACAATTTGAACGCAGAAACAATGGATGTTTCGCTAGTTCTTGCCCGGATAACGATGTTTCGTCAATACTATCGGGGGTAAGTGAAAATTTTTATGAACAATTACCTAATACTGAGTCTGTTACAACTCAATGTGATAAAAATATCACATTATCTTTTGGAACAAAGGTTAAAGAGCCTACAATTCCAAAAACCCCGGACGTTTTCCTTAAATTGTTATGCGAAGCGCAACATTTTGGTGAAAGTGACTGGAATGAAATTAGGTACGCTGAGACACAAAAGATATATAACCATTCTCCAGGGTTTACAGCCATAGAAATGAATGAAGAAGTCAAAGCATATGACTCTTTACGTCACCTAATACATGCGGATAAAACTTTTGCAGCTCTGACGATGTGTGTGCTTAAACAAAAAGAGTATTTACAAAACACTCTAAGAGAGCTTTTACTGTGGGTTAGAGATGGGAACTGCGGTAGTTACGAAGGTTTCTATCAAAAAATTACGGATTTATTTTCAAGCGGTGATTTTCAGAAAATCTCCGAAGATATGTTACAGATGATCTGTGGACATCGTGCGGAGATACTTCAAATGCGAAGGGATTGTTTAACAAAGCAGGCTAAGGATCCACTTTTCAAAGCGAATATAAAGAAGATTCCTCCAACAGCTATAAATCTATTTGATCCAGAAAAATTCACGTCAGCTATTGAAAAAGCTGGCGGGGTTAGAAAATGTTTTTGGCCTGCACAAAGGGGTTCTACCTCGCAGGTGGACACAAAAAAGCTCAAAATCTCCTCGCAGGGGCTTACTAGTCGCACCAGACCCTCGCAGGGTTATCCGCAGTCTTGTGCACATTCATACTGCACTAACAATAACCTACCTTCGCAAGGTAGTTATATCAATGGTAACAATAATAGTCGTTATGCTTTACAATATGATTCGGCCGCACCGAATAATAACCATAATTTTCATGGAAATAATTCACGGACCAATGCGCAACAGCAAGGACATACCAAACAGGGGAAAAAGCGCACAACCTCTCCCCATCAACAAGATTAAAGCAACAAACGACGTAAGTTCTGACTTGCGGCCATTTACAGCAGGCCGTCTTGCTCAATTTCAAGACCATTTGAAAACCTTACAAGCTCCGGATTATATACTAAAAATAATAACAGGGTATCGCATACCCTTTTACCGGAAGCCACCACTGGTTCCTCCCAGAGCCACTGTATCCAATTTACATGTAACAAAGTCCGCAAAAATGACATCGATTATAAACGAAATGAAGGAACAGGGAATTCTGCAAGCGGCAGGAATGGCACCAAGCTT